CATTCTTCAGAGACAATCAGAAAACTGATATTAGTGACCAAAATCCCTGAATAAATAGGATTAGGCACACAGAAGGTCAGGGAATGGAAACACTGTCAGAGAAAACTCAATATGTAAGCAGTTAATATGCAGTTGTGCAGTAAAAGCAAATTCCAGTAAGACCTCTTCCATCTAGACTGCTTTCTGTCAGAATATTGTTGGTTTTCTTTTTTGAAACAATAGTGTTTGATTTGTTGCTTTTAGAGGAATATAAAGAATCAAAAGGGCTGTTCCTGAGTCACTGGAAAATTCAGGGATCTACATCACAGGGGAACTGCAGCTAAACTGTAACGCATAATTAAATTGCCATCCATCCCTCCATCCATTTTCTATACACTGCTTTATCTTCTGTAGGGGGGTTGGAGCCTATCCCAGCTGACTTAGGGTGAAGGCAGGAGACACCCTGGACATATCAATGCTTTTCTTTATAGACGTTTCGTATCTCATTCAAGAGTTCATGAGACTGATGGAGGTCCAGGTATTTATTCTAATCTCAAACTTATATAATTTAAAGCTCGTAAGTGATCAGAAAATCACAGTTATAAATGACCTGAGACTCACGTGACTCAGGGTGTGAATGGTGCGAATCATTTGAGTTTCAGGCTGTTGAGTCATGTGAGCACTGGGTGACAACTAATACCTAGGACTCCCCCTGCAAGTTGGTAAGAACTGATGTTACCCCTGGAACGAAAGGGGAAATCTCTTCAAGAGCCACAAAGAAGACCAGTTGACTTCAGGATTACCATAACCTGGATGACTGAGAATCTACACAGACAAACCTGTCTACATTCAGCACATCCTTCAGGAACAGGACCTGTGCTGTCACAGTGCTTTATACTCACTTCATTGTCACTTTAGATGCAGTAATAGGCCTTTTTGCCCCACAAACATTTTAACATGTGATATGAGGCTGTGACCAAAATGAATCCTAATTAACTATATAGTGCACCGGATTCACTTTTATTATACCATGACGTGTACATTATTTTCCTCTAATAATCCACAATGCACAGTTTAACACACAAAATATAGGAAGTGTTTACATATTGCCCTATGGGGATCAATAGAGAATTAAAGCTGCAAGCAGCATTGGTCGGATCCTCGCTGTATGATTGTTGGCCTTTGCACATGCACTCGACGTGTTGAGTTTCAGGCAGATCGAAGGACAAAGGGACCAGTTACAAAGCACGTTACAGGCGTTTTAACAAAGTTCCAAGGTCCACTGTTTTGAGGAATTCAGACTTTTGCAGAGAGTTTAAATAACTCCAAAAGCAGCCAATCTCCAAAAGCAGCGAAGACGCACAAAATTGCCTTTTCTCAAAATTCAGCACTCTGCCATTTCCACACCGTCAGGTAATAAGAATTAGGTGTAGATGTAGTAATAAGAATCCTTCGGATTACAATAGGGTCCTTGCACTGTTAGTGCTCGGACCCTGATTATCATTTATTGTATGATACTTTGTGATGATTCAGACTGCCTCACAGTGTATGCAAGTTGTGGGAAACGAGCTATAACCTCCATTAGAAAACAACGAGGACCGGAACCGGAGCGCTAACTTTCAAGTCATCTAACAAAACGACATTTGCATAAACAGCTTATGCACTTCCATTGTTGGTTTTATTCTAGCAGTTTTCAGCAACTAACTCAACAAAACAAAAGAAGAAACCATTTATTTTTTCTTCTTCTTAACCTTACTACAACCCCCTGTACGTCCCAAACAACACCACTGCCCCCTTGTGGACTACATAAAATTCCCTATTGCATTGTTTTTAGCTGTATGTCCCATTCAACTCAAACATGAGCCGCTGTGTAAGTATATGAACTTAAGCTACAACACAAGTATAGATGAAAGATTACTTGTTAGACTTTTTAATCCAGGTTATGGTATTGGCAGAAACACAGATTTTATATTTTCAAACTGAAGCTGTCCTCAAATTAAACTTATTTGACGTTACTTTTTTAGTTTAAAAAAGCCTGGTAGGTTTAATTTAAACCTGACATACAGCTTATCTCTAGTGACCTTCATTTCTACAGTACACAGTAGCACGCTTAGATTATTCATTTTGCTAAAAATTTCGCCCACAGAATTGTTGATTTGACAATCATTACTAAAAAAAAAAAAAAGATCTCAAATTACCCTTGTGGCACTCTGAAGTTTCCATAAATGAGCAGGTAAAAAAAAAAACATTTTTAGAACAAACCAAAAATCCTTAGAAATGTATATTTAATTATGATTGTCACTTTGAACACAATGAACATTTTTAACATATCTAAACATAACTACGCGTGACCAATATAACAGCAAAATGAAGGCCAGCTGCTGACTACGAGATGAGTTAGTGTGAGGTACTGTGAAGCAACACGACACAATGAATATGTTATTGCTGGCAAGTATCCAACAAAAATCTCTCATGGCAACATCAAATCCAGGCAGAGCAAAAACACACACAAAGCTTTGTGAAAGAGCAGCAGCATATAATGGATCAAGCTCCACTTTGGCCAGTTGGTCCATTTCTCCAACACTGAGTCACTTGGGAGAGTTAATGAGGTTAGCTTAATGAGCTCAGCTTCTCCATAAAAAATACTTGTGGATAAAAAAGTTCTTGATTTATAAAGAAAATATCTCCATTGTCCAAGCAGGTTACAGCTTTCTTCATAAATGGATGAGACAATGTGACAGTTGCAGCAGCATGCCTTGAGGGTGAGCAGCAATATTTCCATACAACAATATTGGCTGTATACTGTTCCTCAGATTAGAAGACAGACAAAAAAAATCTACAAACACTGCACTTAATAAACACAACCTGACAGTCATTAAGCAAGAAGTGGCTGCCCATAAAATTTGGCAAAATTATTTACAATAAACTGGAATAACACAAAGCTAAAACAGAGCTGTTGTTTGTACAGTGCTGCCCGTTTGTCATCATACCCTCAGTCCAGGATGGAATTATGACTATATCCGGGATATTCCAATAAGCTGGCTTTAAGATTAGCGCATTGAAGTGTCGAGCACTGAGAAAATTGTGTCTGTGTGATGAAAACGGGGGTTTATAAAGACAAAATGGGAAGGTTTTCACAAGACCAAAGGGACAGGTTCTTTGAAGATCAAGAAATGTTTATTCAATCGAAGCGGTATGCTTCAGTGAAGCTTCACCTCTGTTGGTATGAAAAGCCACCCCATCAATAAAAGCTATTTCCTTTAATCAGAGGACCAACTTATCATGATTAACTAGCTGAGCAGTTCAGTTATGAGTGATGACATGCTCTGCAACAATATAATTCTCTTTGGTGTGCCCTGATTGATGTCGGACAGCGTGTGAATAACTCAGTGATCAGGTGAGCAGGTAATTGACAAACAAACAAAGACGTTGCCTTCCACGACTGACTGGGGTGTGATAATCTGCCATGCCTCAGCCCGTGACGTGTAATGGCCATGACTTTAAACAGGCAAAAGTTATTCCTGGAAACAATTTCGGGGAATTTCGTTATGACAAAACCCGGGATTATGACATTCTTCTATCACCATAAATGGACTGTTTTACTATAGACTGGAAATATATCGGATGTGAGTCGGGACTTCGATATTATATGGTTATAAAGATATTTTATAAAGCAGTATGACATTAAGTGGGCAGCACTGTACAATTAAACATTTAGTTTTCAGGATTTTCCACGCCTGAACTTTAAAGCTTGAAATGGTTAAGAGGTCTTGGTTGACACCCTCCTTCATGGCACTCGTGTTAATAGCAAACTGTAATCATCTGGAATACGTGATTCCCGTGAACAAGAAAATAATAGACCTCAGAGACGAGATTTAAGGCTGTCTCCTAATGATTAGCTAGCACATCTCTTTGCATGGTGTACAACAACACTGGCGACAACACTGTCTCCCCAAAGTTATGCTCCTATTTAACTGAACTGTAATCTCATTTACATCTTTAAAGAAACATATCTTCTCCCAGAAAAATTACACTGTCATATAGCAGGAAAGGCTTCCAGTTTAAAGGAGCCACACAGTCTGTAGAACTTTCACCCAACTTTCAAAATGACTCCAATGATGATTTTAGTAATGACTTTCAAAACATGTTTGAAGCTTCTCCTCCATTTTTTGGGTTACCATGGTGATGGGTCCTGCCCATGTACTGTACATATGATTGGTTGGCTGACACGGAGCAAAATAAATGGCAAAGATACTTTGAATTAAAGCATTTTTTGTGATAGGCACCAAACACATGTAATCCAAGAGAAAATATGTTTCCCTTAAAATGTGATTAAAAATGCAGCTGAGTTATTTTGAAAAATAAAGAAGTATGTAACCTCAGCTAGTCCCCTTCCCTAAATCAGCTAGAGTTCTTATTGCAAAAAACCAGGGCATCATCCCTCAGTGGCTTCTCATCTATCTATCAGCATCGCCTGCTGTGTTGGTCACCATGCCTCAAAAATCTGGAGGCCCTACTGTACAGAACTAAATTATGAAACTGTAGTACTCATACAGTCACTGATATATCTGTAATAACTCTCTGCAGATACATGGGCCTGACCATAGAATGGTTCGCCAATTATTTTAATTTAGGATTGCAAAGAACCTGGAACATGTGTATGTATGTATGTAATATGCATGTGTAACCTAAAAACATAGAAATATAAATGTTTATACTTTTCCCTTTACCTCTTATTCTGATTGACAGGATTCTTACCAAACGATGTATCAGTCTGGTCATCATTATGAAGATAACTTGTTCTGGACCAATGTGGATGGATCACCATTGTCATGAGTAGGAAAAAAAAAATAAAAATCTTCTACTCTTGCGACAGCCCCAAATCTGATCTATTAAGTCTGCGTGTACTTCAATACAATATGAGCACAAGACCAAAAACTCAAAGTGCTGACTTTAAACAGCTTTATGTCCCTGTACGAACATTTAGTCAATTTGAAACTAGTGTAAATGCAGTGCTTGTCATATATTTTTTTTTTTTTAGTTTTTAACACTTTATTAAGACTTTCCAAATTCTAACACATAATCTTTCCAGCCCCACAACTCAGTGCAGCATGGTCTATTAAAACAGAACAAAACAGCATAATGCAATAAGTTAATTAGCATTATCCACTTCACATTATGCACAAATATCATGCATATGTAGCCACATTATAATTTTTACTTGACCAATCATATTAAAATGATGCATAGATATAAAAATCCATTACATAAACCATACATATTAAAATAAACAATCTGTACAAAAATTGATTTTTAGGATTTTTAAATTTCTTCCGTGTAGAACAGAATAGGAAAAGTAAAAAAATAAATATCCTATGTACAATCACACAAGCCATTCCAAAGTTATCGTCACTGCAAGGAGAAAGCAAAAGGCAAAATACCAAATGTTAGTTCAAACAAGGGTCATGGCCAAGTTAGCATACAATATGTGAGCTGTTAACGTGATAAAAAACAACACAGCACAGTGTCGGACTTACTTTGTTCCAACATCCTGGTACAGGTAAGCCATCATCCCCCTAGAAAAAGAAAAACAAGATTTGGATAAAAACATACTGTATGCTGCATTAACAACATCATATAATGTTAGGCAACAGTGCATTTAAAAATAGGTTCAAATTCAAATCACTTTATTTATTCAAAAAAGGTTACACTTAGATCGTCAAGCCAACTCAACAAATAAAGATATAAATAACAAACCTGAGCTGACATAAGTATTCTTCCACCCAAGGCTCAGGGAGTATAAGTCATGTTCTGTTTCTGCATATACATAGTATGTCTGTGCCCAAATTAGAACTTCAAAAGTCAAGAAACATTTTAATTATGTGTATATAGTTATGTGCTAGCGGTTCCATCTTTTTACAATTTATACATACTTCTGGGTTGTAGAATTACTCAGGATTACTATGAAATGGGGAAGTTATCGATTGAACAATCATATAGACATTACTGCAGGTTTGGTTGATGAAATTAACAATGTGTATAATGCTGTGCTGATGGATTGAACTACACTTTTAAGGAATCAATCATGTCCTCACTTTAAGAATTGGGGTCTGGTTGGGATGAAATTTGTAACTATGACACAATGGTGTTTTGTTCCCAATAGAAACACCAAAGACTTAAATTGGCTACAGTTCTAATTTGAGCAACTGACCAGCACCTTCATCATACCAACAGTTACATAGAGTGTAATATTTACAGCTTTTGCCACAGCAAACAGATAGAATTAAGCTTTGATTTGACACATTCTCAAGTTATCCAGAAGAGTTCCATGTTTCTGTTGAGGAACATGAAGGATTTCTTCAGACTCCAGCAAAACACCAGAACCAGAGGGTCCCACAACCTCACAAGTCTGTCCTTTATTTTAAAGTATGAATTTATCATAGTGCATATACAACCAATGAACAAATGAGACCTTAACCAAGAGAATTAGAAGTATTCAGTTACTAAGTTGGTGAGAAATTACTTTATGGCATTATAGTGGCTCTTTCTGGCACTTCATACATTTGCACTGTTCTTCAACTTAATGTTTACAGTTTGTGAGAAAGAAGAAAGAATCCAGACCAACAGGAAAATCACATTTATAACACTTGTCCTTGTCACTAAAGATAAATTGTGTTTAAAAGACAATAATACCAATAACATAGAGACAGTTTTGTGAAACACAGACTACCAATGTTCTCCAACACGATCTTATTTTTTATTATTTTTTAAGTAAGTTTTCTTTTTTATTATTTTACACTTGAATTGGCAAAGACATGTTAGATGTGTAAAAATTCTAAGCCGTATCCTTACCTGTGAAGATGGAATAACCATATCTATCCACCTAGAATCCATCAGCTTTGCAAATCCAATCTACAAGTCTCATACTGACACTGTGCTATGGATTTGGAGACATCTAAGAATTGACTGTGTGTGACAAGATGCCAAAAAAGAAGACACTTCTGTCCCCAGATATTTACACAACCTGTGAACAACTGTTTAAACTAGCTTTGTGTGTGTCCTCGCTCTCATTGTGATGACACATCTGGTTGACCAATCATAATCCAGTGCAGTGCCAGCATCCTCTAATAGTGTCTGGACTTGTTTTTTTTAAGGTAACATTCTAAGCAGTAACAATTTAAGGTGAAATGCAAAATTGGCAAGCTGACTTTATGAGGCTAAAAGTATATACAGAAAATGTAAAAAACGGAAAAAACAAAAAACAACAAAGGACAGTAATGAGCATGTGCAACAATAAATTTCCCCATGCTAATACCAGGACTCTGGCTTACTTTGATTTAAAAAATCCATCTAGCTCCTACTGCTCTTCACTACCTGTGGTATTTTGTTGCCTTGAAGATGAAAAAAAAGATGGTGCTCCATGCAAGAGATGGTGTAGGAAACAAGGGATCATGAAGAAAGGATCTACAACTGCTGAACATAACAATTTCAGTGCTTTAAATGTAAGATTAATGTTGTTATGCAATTAATAACGTTAGTAACAATCATGTATCAGCATGTGAATTAAACATAAAAGTTTTAATTAGTGATGGAAAGACTGAGTTAAATGAGCATTTGTTTGCAGAGGAAAAGGCGTGTACATGTTAATTCAATAGAGGTTTGGTGTAACGGCTCAGCCTAAGAACTTGTGAGTCAATTGCAATAGGTAGACTTCCATGCAACCATACATGTTGTTGTGCAACATATTAGTGCCTACAGTGAGGGGTGTGGTTAGAGATAGCTAAAGGCATGCTGGGAAAAATAAAGGGAAAGAAAGAGCACCATACCACAGGGCAAGGGGCATCCAGCCCGTCCAGGCCTGGCAAGCCCGGTTCACCTTTCTCCCCTTTAAAGCCTCGGAAACCCTGTTTGTGAAATCAGCCATTTAAAAACCAATTTTGCAGCTCATGTGCAGTGGAAGAGCGTTTCTCCACTGCTTGACGACAGGAGGATCTCCACTTCTGTCCACCTGGTGACCGATTGCAGGTTTCCTAAACATGCAGGCAACCTGGGACTGACAGGAACTGGACTGACTGAGATGAGGCTCACCAATGTTGAAGTTAATTACCTATGAGAGTGAGTTTGACTTAGAGTTCTGATACCAATCTGAAACTGTGGAATCCCAGCAAAGGTTTAGACCTTTGTGGTTCAGGTTGGTCAATTTATCCATTGGCAATGCAATGCAAATGTAGTCAGAAATGTTCCAAGATTAATCCTGCAAATGAGGTGGATGGATGGGCGACCTGGTTAGCCTGCTGTTCACAGAGAAATGGCTGAATAAAGTCATTTTTTGGTTTGGATATTTTCAAATGTAACCTTTTTACTCTCTGCTTGTAAAAATTGTTCAGTTAATTTGTTGGCAATGCTCAGTGCACAATGAGTAGAAGTAATAACTAGATAATAGACTAGTAAGTTTGTCTGTTTGTCCCCTATGCTTTAGCATGAAGGACACAGATACAGATGCTCAGAAGGGAAGCTGAAAACTAAACCAAACTGGTATCTGTTGATGCTCATACACAGTGGCTGTCTGGTTCCTGTCGGTCTCATCCCTGGGAAAAAGAGGATCCTCAGGCAGAGTTGTGGTCTGTGATCCATCTGCATTTTTCACCTGATGAATCTTTTTTATGGGTCAAAACAATGAATTTAGGATTTCATCAACTAAATCACACATCTTAGCCAAATCTCTAACACGCTGCAGTGGAAAACTTGACCAAACTCTCCCTGAGGTTGATTAAGACCACTAAACACCAGAGGCAAAAGGAAGCTGACTACTGAATACAGATCCTCAGAGAGACTGAAGCTCTGTGGGATTGTGTTGTATTCTAAAACAGCGCTCCTTCCCTTTGCCTCATGGGTACACATGGAGCTACTGACATACCAACGGACAGGGGGCATCTAATCCAGGTGCTCCTTGGTCTCCCTTATCCCCTTTGGCCCCCCTGTTGCCTTTCTTGCCCCTCTCTCCCTGCAAACAACAGCGTATTAAAAAAAAGACAAACTTTAATCCTCCTCAGTAAGCCACACAAGAAGCAAATGCTTGCTTTTTGTAAGATTTCATCTGTCAGGTGTTTTTACATATTGGTAATTTAGATCTGAAAAATAAGTTATTTAAATTGACAAATTTGTTCAGTGTGCCCTTTGCTATTTTTCAAGACAATGTCATTTTGCAATGCAGTTTTAGGGAAGGTAAGTAGAGGGAGGGAGGAAGCATGACAACGCAAATGGTGAGCAGGGTTCAGTCTAAGGACTATGCGAACGAGTGTAAACGCAATCTCTGAAAGACTTGAGGCTTGTTAAATGTACACTGTTTCTGTCATTTAATCAGAGAAAACAATACTGATGAAAACATGGCAACTAAAAATAAAAGAGTACATAATAACTTACTTACTTAAAAATATTGAAGAAGATACATAAGTTGATGACTGTGTTGGATTTTTACATGAGCGATTGTGGTTTTCATTTCTTGTTTGATCGCAAAAGTCAGTGTTTCAGCGTTGGTTTCCTTCATCATGTCCTTACCCTTATGTTCAGCATAACTCTTGAAACTATAGACAAGAACATCCCCAAACCACACCGCCAAGGCACTGACAAACTGCTTTGAGAGAACTAATTGCTATTTTTAAAGGCAATAAAAATGACTTAATTTGTCACAAAACACACACAGCCTTTCTACTTTTCAGTCTTTTTACAGGTGTTGGGGAGTATTACATATGTAAAGGCGGTACATAAACTTTACTTGTTTAACTGTACACTAAATTTTATAATTCATCCCTACATCCACCCAACCGGTTGAGGCAGATGGCCGTCCCTCCCTGAGCCTGGTTCTGTCGGAGGTTTTTTTTCCCCTGCTGGGGTTTTCGGTTCCTTCCCACTGTTGTGGACTGCTTGCGGACTGCTGAAGCTTATAGGGAATCCAAATGTTTTGGATTGTTGGGTGTTTCTGTCTCTGCCTTTGTTAAGCGCTATGAGATGACTTATTGTAAATATGCGCTATACAAATAAAATTGAATTAAATTGAATTGAATTGAATTGTGTGTCCAGAAAGAGTTTTGCCAAATTGGAAAAATGTTGCAGTGTTAGATTACCAGACCTCTTTGTCCACTGTTCCTCTGCACTGCAGGCTACATTAGCCACCATGAGCTTGACACAACACAATGTCTCACTGAGCTGCAGTGCTAAAGTTGCATTGTGGGTAATGTAGGTGCCAGGTTTTGACAAGGAAGAAAAATGTGTGAAACAAGACAGACGGTATCTCTGTTTGTGCTGAACCAAGGAATGGAATGCTACTGTCTTAAATTTGGATTCTTGGTAACACTTTTTTTTCCTACTGAATGCAGATTACAGGCTGAAATTGGACTATAACAGAACACCTGCTTACCAAGGCCAAAGTCAGTAAGGGCCCAGGTAAAGAAAACACAACATTACGCACAGGGAATAAAGAATGATAAGAAGAATAAGCAGCTGTCCGACTGCAAGGTTCTCCCAGTGCTGTCTAAGCATCATCTGCAAATTGGAATCTCAGACTTTAGACTTTTCTCAGGTTTAAGGCTTTACATAGCTCAAATGCTTCTGGCCCAAATGCACAACCCAGCTGTGAGTGTTGGTAGTAGCAGAAGCTCACATTCAGAGGTGAGATAACTGCATGCAGGAGGGCCAGTGTTATACGTTCTGCATTATGAGTATGTGATGGTCTGCGTGGCTTAAAGTTCATCATCACACCGACTCTGTGAGAGTATACGTGGACACCTACCCGGACCTACACCTACCTATGGCCGGCAGTCGTGTGCATGAGAACAACATGTATGTGAATGAGCCTTCAAGCGAACTCCTGTGGACTAGAAGAGTAGTATAATAACAACAGCTACGCGCCTGTAACTTTCTACAGCTGTTTGTGTGCACGATAATAATAACAAAGGTTTAACGCCAGTGTTAAGGCCAATTCCAGCTTTGACATATATTTCGCCATCAACCCATGTCCGTGAGGGTCCATGAGAATCTATCTGCGGATGCCTGTGTGCATCAAAGAATTTACAGCCATGCAGACTGCAAATGCTGCAACAAGACAGCTGGTGCTTAAAACAAATGATTGTTTTGAGAAGAGACTGCACTAAAAGACTCTCTGTCATCTACAACTTTATGGTACATCATTTACAGAGTTGTAACTGAAGAAGTCGCTGCTGGACGTTGTAGAGGATTTGATCTGCTTAGCATCGACTTAGCCCAAACAAAGTAGGAAGTCTCAAATTCTCCAGAAATCATGTGCTGTGACCACCCACTGTGTTTGGCACACCTTGGGGATAATCAGATTGACAAGGTGCTGGCAGACTGATGCTACTACTGTAGTATGAATAGAACTCTGTGCGCGTTTATCTCTGCTGTCAAAGCGCACATCGTTCTGTGTGCATGAATGCATAAATAGGCCCTAATGCCTCGTTTCCACATAGTTTCGCGTCATGTTCATAAATCTATATATTATTGTACCTTGGTGTTTCACATAATTGATAATGGATGGATGGAAACTTTACTGCAGCCATATGAGAGAGGCTAATCGGAGGTTATTAGTTTCACTGTCCAGTTTTATGGAATATGTGCATGGAGCATAACTGCCACTACACTGACATAAAGTAAGGAAGGAGGTTATGCTGCCACATGTGGAGCCAGTTTCATGAAATATTTTAATAAAAAATGTGTGAAGTACTACAGAGTGTGTGTTCTTTGTTTGTTATACAACTAGCACGTGTTGAGCTAGATAAAGGAGTTCTGGTTGATTCGCATATGAACACTAAGCAAAGTGAGAACAAGGTGTTATACTGTTATAATTTACATCATGAGGTTCGTCAGACTAAATGCTCCATGGAGTCCTGCCTATCTAACAAGTAGAAGTGACTTTAAATCATTAGCTCACAGACATGCAAAATCACTGCCATGTAAATACATACATTTTGACAGTGACGATAGAGCACTGCTTTTCAATTTGGAGTACAGGTTAGGGACACAGGGGTTGGGAGGACTTAATGGAGGCTTGCAAGGAAGAGGTACTGTTAAATAGGAGGAGTAGTACAGAGGAGGTGTCAGAGGAGAATCCAGGACTACATTAGAGTGCAGGAGGAGGAGGAGGAGGAGCAGGAGGCCAAGGTTTTGTGAGAGGGAGAGAGGGCAACCCCGGCAATAAAAAGAGCCACAGGCCACAGAGCAAGGTGGAGGGAAGGAAAAGGGGATAGGAAGACCTGCGGAAACAAAGGAAGACAGGATAAAGAGTAAAAACACCAACACTATCTCACAGCTTCAACACTTTCAACTGGACAGTCATACCCAGGTCAATCAGAAGTGTGTTCTTCTGTTCTCTTTTACTTGTACAGGCCAGTTGAATGTGCTGAGAAAGCTTATGAAATGGGAAGACTTAAAAGATGGGAGTGGATATATTAAAAGAGACACAGGTTAATGGGAAGGAAACATTCTCTTAGGGGAAGGGCATGTGGACATTTCAAACAGGTTCTCTGATTCACTACATCCTGGAAATAAGAAACAGTTTTTACACAGTATAATTTTGCTAGGGCTATTGTTTTATTGATTTATTTATTTTTAAATATAATGCCAGTTAGGGAGTAGCTCAGTATTTTGGGATATATATATGTGAATCTGGATGTGATTAGCATAGCTTAGCATGAAGACTGTAAGTAATATCGATTGTAGCAGTTTTAACACAATCTCTCAATTTCAAGTCTAATCTGATGTCAGATAAACAACACAAGAATTATTTGAGGCTTTCACCAAGGTCATTTTTCATCAACATGTTTTATTCCTTTGATTAAAAAACATGTCTAGTGTATGATCAAATATAATTTCACCTCTTAAAGTTTATTCTAAATTGCATCAGTGACCAAAGGGTTCAAAACACAGCCACTGCAAAACAAATAATTTGCCTCAAAAGCCAAGACATTTTGATGGGAATTATTCAGAATCATTCCAAAAAAAATAATCTAAGCAAACTATCTGACTCATCTGGCTTTCTATTCATGCAGAATATCAAAGAGAGCATCCAATTTATTCACATTCAGCTCTTTAATTCACATCTCCTCCTTGAGACTGTCTTTGAAGTTGTCACAATTCTGCTCAGGTGATCTATTATGGCCCCACAAGGCACTTGCAACAATAATGGCAGATGTTTAATAATGATCTGGATGCAAATATCAAGCTGTAATAGGCCTCAGATACAGTGTATAGTTTAGCTGCCGAATTGGGTGAGTAAATATGCAGACATGACCTGGTCTGTGTGTATTCAACAGACTAAATTCAATGTGTGCTTATTAGTTACTTGTCCTTATAACAGACAATACACTAAAGATGGTTTCTTACCCGATTTCCCTTGAATCCTTGTGGTCCTACTAAACCCTGTAGAAAGAAATGAGAAAACAAATTAGTAGCATATTTGCTGTCTGGTGCCGTGTACAGATTGACATTGGCACCCTGTGTCATTTCAGTCAGGGAGAAAAATGCAAATTTGTAAAAAAAAAAAAAAAGTGACACAAGGTACAGTTCAGTCACAGTAATATTGCAATATAATAGTAATATGACAGACAACATATGACAGACCTTTAAAAGAACACGGATATATTATCTGAGTAGGCCAACCAAAACATCTATGAATGTAAACTACATTCAAGGTCATACAAAAGTGCCGCCTTTATTCGCTGTGTTTCTAGTAAAGCTCCAGGCTGTGTTGTCAGAGGGAGGCGTTGCAGGTTAGGTTACACATAAATAGAGTAGAAGAAGCTGTAAATGAGACCAGTTGTTTACCAGCCACTAAAGAAGAAGAAACAAACACATCTTTGGTCATATATAAGAGATAAATGAAGAGAGGCCTTCAGAAAGTGTTTTTTTATTACACGTTGTAATGATTCTTTCAGCTGGTATTAACCATGTTTTATGCTACCCCACCTCTGGCTCCACCTAGTGGCTGTTTTTGCTCCCTTTTTCTCCTCCATCCTCCTTCTATCCTTTTCCCCTATAGGTGGGCGTGCATGGGCAGGAGTGTGCGGTACGACAGGTGCAATGTATCAACTGATTACCTGAATGTCCTCACCTGTGGCAGGGCGTGGTTTTCAATCACCTATGCACGCCATAAAAGCTGACTTCAAACCACGACATGACGTTGGACAGTAAACAACCAAGCAGTGAGTTACTTCTGACTCCAATCTGCTCCGTTACCTGTGTTAATTCCTGTTTCCTCTGCTTCAGCTGGACCCACTCTGCTGCTTCTGCAAATCTGGTCTGTTGCTCCTTTCATCTCCTGTCATTCTTCTGCTCTTTGCCTGGATAGTCTACGGTCCACCCCACTTGGTCATTGCATCTGTTGTACCGCCACACCTGCCACGTTGCCCACCAATTCCCCATCTCTGGTTTTTCCCTCTCAGTAAGCCCCAGTCTTCTGTTGATTCATGTTCCATAATTATTCTTTGTAGTACTGCCTAGATTGGTTTTGTTTATAGCTTATTCCTGTTTAGCTTCTTCCCGTCTTGGTTGTACCAAACCCGTGTTGCTAAATTCCTCCATCGAGGTTTGTGTAGCTCAGTATTGAGCCGTTAGTTTTCCTCAACTTGAACCTAGTTCCTGTTTTTGTTCGTATGCCCCTTGACCTGTTTAGTACTTCCAGCTCAATTGTAAATATTGTTTATATTGTAAATAAATATACTTATTCTGGTTTTATGCCTGTTTCTGCCACGTCTTTGTCCACATCTGAGTCTCTGAGTCTGTTCCGTCACATAGAAAAGTGTATAAAGTCCAAAACCTATGTTCACCCTATCAATGTAAGTTGTTAATGTTCTAATAACAGACAAGATAAAATATAATTTAAACAGCTCTGCCTGTGCTGTTGCGCATACATGTGAAATTGCCTTTGTATTGGTCACAGAAATTTAAATGATGATGGTTTTATGTGGCTCTGGGTAAAAAGGTGAATAAGTAACTTTCCAAAATGGCAGAAAGTCTCTGTTAACCACCTCGAATGAGTTAACATTTTGAGTGACAACATAGTATATATAGATTTATTGTACATTTATGAAGGTAATTTGTTTTTGTCAAGGAACACAATGGTTTCAGCCTTTCATCTTGTGACTTTTTTTAGAGGTCTGGTTTAATGTTTCCTAAAATTCTAAACATGTAGCTTTCAGTGTTTTAAAATAAACTGATTAAGATGTAAAAAAAAAAAGTATTTAGGACTTACAGGGATGCCTTGCGGCCCAATTGGTCCTGGTAATCCTGCATCTCCCTTTTCACCCTGTAGCGATAAGAGCAAATTCACTTGTACCTTTTCTTTTTCTTACAATTAAAAACAGAGAAAGGCAACAACAACAAAACTCACTCTCTCTCCCTTTGGTCCGGCTGGCCCTGACACACCGACTGGTCCTATTAGACCCTTTAAAACAGAAAAGAGAGAATAAATATGGGCAACTAAAAACAGTACAATAGTAGAGAAATTCTAATCATTAAATTCCTCAAATCAGTAAATCAACAAGCTCTGTGATGGGCTTGAGCAGGTGTCATAAGCTCGTCTTGGACCAGTAATACCAAATTTTTCCACTAATCTGGAGTGACAAAATACTCCTGCAATGTAGTTTTCTGCAGACACATGTAGCACTAACAGGCCGAGCTTGTTGAACTACTGTCCAAACTGTTAAAAAAAAGAGAGAAAATGAATAAAATGTCAACAGTTGCTGTTCTTTGTCTGAGCAGTCAGGATTGAAGAAGACCGTGTATCTCAGGCATATCCAGTATGTAAAGAGCTGTACAGAATACAGCCGTCCAGGTGTACTGTATTACATGTCAACATGCAGCATGAGCATCTCCGCATACTACTTCAGGACAGGTCGTAGCAATGGCAGCTTCGCAGCTTGCTGCTGGTACAGGATCAGGAGGCAGGAAACTGTTAAGGCAGGATTGAGCACTGATGATTTATGCAGTAATGCCAACCAGTATCAAAAAGTGATCAATCTATCTCAAATCATCAGGCTTCTGCTTGACCATCTCTGATTTGCTCAAATTTTTAAATTATAAACTGCTATATTTAAAATGGTACCTGAGAGACTTTACATATATTGAAAAGAGGGGTGATGGGACACACATACAGTATACATATATATATATATAGTCATAGAAAAATTATTAGACCACCTTGTTTCCTTCAATTTCTTGTTCATTTTAATGCCTGGTACAACTAAAGGTATATTTGTTTGGACAGATGATGGACAATAATGATAACATCAAAAATAGCTCTTAAGAGTTTCATTTAAGAGCTGATATCTAGACATTTTCCATGGTTGTCCTGATAACAACTAAACTCATTTAAGTTCTTACATCAATAGCTATGTAGCATTCTACTGCCAAAAACAGTGCTTTTAGTCTGTTTTAGTCGCATGATACACACAGGAGTTAGTACTTGATTGCACAACCATTGTTTTTGATGACTCCAGCCATGTGTCTTGGCATGCTCTCCACCAGGTTCTGACATTGTTCTGCTGTCACAGCAGCCCATTCCTGTTGCAAATTCAAACCAATTTGCTTTGTCTTTGGGCTTGGGGTTCTCCATTTTGCGTTTGATGATTTTCCACAGCTTTTCAACTGGATTTAGATCTGGTGATTGAGCAGGCCAAGGCATGGTTGGAATGTTCTGGTTCTCCATCCAGGTTTTAGCTGACCTTGCCATGTGGCAAGGGGCATTGTCTATCCATCCATTATCTATATACCGCTTAATCCTCAAGAGCGTCCCGGGGGGCTGGAGTTTATTCCAGTTGACTCAGGTTGAAGGCAGGGGACACCCTGGACAGGTCACCAGTCTATCACAGGGCTACACTTAGAGACAGACAACCAAGCACACTCACATTCACACCTATGGACAATTGAGAATCACCAATTAACCTCAACATGTTTTTGGACTGTGGGCAGAAGCTGGAGAACCCGGAGAGAACCCACGCTGCACGGAGAGAACATGCAAACTCCACGCAGAGAGATCCTGGGTGTCCTCACTGGGATGCGAACCGGGGACCTTCTCGCTGTGAGGTGCTAACCACCAAGCCACCTTGCAGGCTTGCCAAATCATCAACAGTCCAATCCTTGTGTTCCCCAGCAAAGAGTAACCGGACTTTCCTCTGCCTTTGGTTGATGAAGGACTTCTTCTGTGCCCTGTGTGACTTCAGATCAGCTTCAAGAAGTCAGTTTCGACTGTCCTTGCCAAATAAGTCACATTTCTCCACAGTGCCCACTCATTTTTAAGGTCCCTGGAGGTCTGATGACGATTCCTGACACAGGAACGGATGAGTGCGCAGTCATGTCGTGGGATAGAAAGACGTTTCCTGCAGCGACCAGCTAGCAATGTGGTAGTACCATGTTGGGCTTGTTTTTTCTTGGTGTAATGAACGGCTGTCTTGGAGATCTTCAGTTTTTTCACTACCTGTCTCTCATTCATGTCAATTTCCAGCAGTGCCAAGATGGCTGCCTTTGTGGCTTCACATAATTCTTTTGTTTTTGGCATTATGTGAGAGCTGACAACTTCTGAGTTGTGCTACAGCTTGAATGTAAGCAGGAAACCACTCTAGGCCTTTGCATGTGCAGTGCTGCTTGTGACATGAAATGGCCTCTTATATACCCTACAATACAATAATACAATTAAGCTTAAACATGTCAAATAGGACATAAAGTATTATGTAATCATCTGCATTTTATGTCGTGTTCATTGTATTCTTCAGGTAGTATACCTTTAGTTGTACCAGGCATTAAAATGAACAAGAAATGAAAGAAAATAAGGGTGGTCTAATACTTTTTTCCATGATTGTATATTGTCATTCAAGCATAGCCTCAAATGTCAATGAGCTAAAAACACACACACACATATATGTCACAGTCCAAATTAAAATTAGACTGGACTTTAATTTAGACTGTGATAGGTATATGTATATATATTTATACTGACCCTTTTTCAGCAGGTTTTTAGCTCATTGATATTTGAAGCTACGCCTGAATCACAACATCTCAGGAACTGTTCAAGATAGAAGCCTGAAAATGACAGTTATTTCTCACTAAGCCATTGATTCAGAATCTGCAGTATTGGACAAGCATCAACTGTTGTGCCACAAAAACAAAAGTATTCTTAGGTAGCCTAACACGAGTAGGTAATAACTCTGGAGTTTCAAAATGATTCTCCAGGCATAACTAGAAAAAAATAACTTTTTAATATGGGCAGATATTTAATTGCGTGACCCCACTTACCACTCTACATTGTTTTTTAGTTATATTTGGGGAATCATTTAGAAGTCCAGAATTCTGTTCTACTTGGATTAGACTATCTAGCAATGTTTGAGTTAATCTGGTACAACTAGTCATACCTGCATTAATCAGTAATGAAAGTAAACAAAAATAACTGGACTTGAATGATTGGCATGATGACAAACAGTGAAAATGTCATGTTTTTATCTTTAACAGTTCTTCAGATCTTGCCTCAAATTTCAGTGTGCCATCAAACCTGCTGAAAGTAGGTCAATGAGCAATTAAGAAATTATAACCTGAAATCTTGACAAGCTAAAACTTTACAAAAAAGCTTTAGATATCTATATTTTATGCTATAACGATATACTCAAGCGTCAAAGCTGATCGAGCAGAAATTGTGATGATTTGAGATGGAATAACCCAAAGACTGAATTCAAAATGACTTGGCAACATTATATTTCAAGGGTAGTTGTAGTTTAGGTAGTTATAGTATAGGTAGTGGTGGAAGATACTAAATAGATTTCAGAAAAACCTGAAATACAGTTAGCCTGAAGTAATAGGAAACTGTACACAACTAGATTAATACAACCACAGATTCAGAGAAACCACAATTTCTTCATGATTTGTCCTGGCAAATATCAAGTTATTCTAATGTTTCTTATACCAATAAAGCACTTATGGCATCATGTGGAGATGACAAATTACAATTCTGTGGTGCTCAAACTGTAAACTCTTAAATAAAAGCAATTGTGCGAAACAAAACAAACAGTCATGTCATAGTCACTGCTAAAAAAATGTATTAAATGAATCCAATGTCTTCTGCTTCGCTTTTTTTTTTCTTTTTCTTTTTAAATTCTCTTCTTATCAATAATTTACATTAAAAGCCGCTGCATTTTGTGGATCCACTGTCTAATTGATGTGAAACATCTTTGAAATGTGGCTATAAAATGTAAAAGCGACATCATCCTTAAGCTATTAAGAAAGCAAGTAGAGGTGTTGGACATACAAACCTGGGGAAATAAAGAAAATGAGGACAGGATTCTACTAAGATACGTAGTGACTTAGTGAGTGGGACATTACAGACAGCTGGAAAACAGTCTTGTGAGTAATCTGTGTTGGAAAACCCATATGAATGATGAACCATTTTTCAAAAAACTGTAATAACTGATATCAGTCAGGTTTAAACAGACGGTCTAATTTTAATGTGTTTCTTCTTTAGGTGCTATGGAATAGTAATTGTTAAAGGGGGTTGGGGTCCTTACATATGTAGGCATATGCCACACATATAATTTAAAGAGTTGCCATATTTGATATGAAGGTAGAAGCTCAATGCCATTGTATCCTCAGAACCCAATCCTGAACAGTCCTGTCCTTGATAGGACTTCTTAAAGAAGGAAAACATACATAGGACAAGCATGTGAAGCAAAAAAGCAAGCATACATGACAAGCAGACATGGTAGACATCAAGCAAGCAGTAGCAGGAGGTGGTGGAGGAGGAAGAAGAGGAGGAGAAAGAGGAGGAATAGGGTGAGGGGACCAGAACGGGACTTGCGCCACTCACCACTGGACCCGGTCTGCCGTCTAACCCATGAGCCCCCTGTATAGCGTTGTACAAAGTTAGAGAGCAGAGATGATGGGGGAGATGGTGGGAGGAAGATGGGGTAGGGGGTTGGGATAGGGATGTGGTGGTGGGGTGGGGGTGGGTGAAGCTGTGACTCAAGTGACTTCAACAACACATTCAGGTGATGACAAATGAAGGGTGATGGAAGTGGTGGAGGTGGAGGTAAAGTGAGTGACATCAAGTCTACAGCCATGTTGTTGTTCACAGTACTATCATACATTAGGGCTGCGTTCTAAACCACATACTTTATCTTTTTACTTCAATACAACTGCATTACAAAGTATGTATTGTTATATGCAGCCTGCATACAATCAGGTCACACTACTAGGATTGCTAACTGTTAGAAAAAAACTTGGATTATCACTAGACTTATCCTGTGACTAAGAATTTGGCATCTGATGTTTTTTATGAAGCTTCTCATCTCATGATCTTTATCCGTTAAACCAAGCCGACCCTATGCACTGATGGTAATTGTGAGATGTGACCAAAAGCAATACAGAAATCACATGCAAATACAGAAACACTGCAAGTTATATGAAACAAATTAACAACACAATACAGTGTTCCTGGGCACACTAAAAAAACGACAGACTTACTAGTAATTACTAAAACATTTGGTGTAAAACATTATGATATCAGGTTAGTGCAGCCAGAAAGTAAAAGTCAACACTGTTAAGTAATCTTCCAATATCAATGATAAGTGGTTAAAGTATTCAACAATTTTTAGTATCCCTTAATTTATTTTGTGTTTAGGATTAAAACCAATTAGGTTTTTTTGTTTGTACTGCAGAATGTTTCATGATGTTTGTGTTTCTTAGTTATTTGCTTGTTTCATGTATTTGCAGTTTTTTTTTCTAAATACTGAATGTGCTCCTAAAGCGATGATTAATTTTCTCTTTGAGCTGCATTGAAACTCTTTTCACCTCTAGTCAGTTGGTTTTCTTGCCCATAATTTAAAAAAAATGAACCAAAACAACCCAACAACAACACAATATATAACAGCAATGATTGCATACAAAGTGAAGTGACCGTGCAACATGTGATGTAACATGTCGCTGTCATGTACACACTTTGTGACATTCAAACGAGTCAGCTCAGTAAAGTCCAGAGGACAAACTTGTGAATGCATAAGCATAGTCAATACAAGATGTTGACCTGAGAGTAACTGCATAATGTGTAGATAAATGATTTTTGAATGCGTGTGCAAACCAGGAGCAAAGAATAGAAACCCAAGGTGATGGACACCATTTTACAGCAAATAAAAGCATTCCAATTCAATTTAATAGAATTTTGAATAAGAATGACACAATATAATGCTAATGCTCCTATACTGACACACCAATGGAGGTGACTGTGAACAGACAGGACATCCAGTGTACTTACGGGGAGTCCAAGATGGCCTCTGTCTCCCTTGTCGCCCTTCTGACCTGTCGCTCCCTTTTCTCCTCTGATGCCAATGCCTGGTTCTCCCTGAGAGAGAGGGTGAGATAAAATTTCATCCTTACGCTTTCATTCATAGAACAGCTGTGATGTAGAAAACATACATCAAAACAACATCTCAAATTTCCCTTATGGGGATCAAAAAAGAATTATCTTATCTTAACTTATACAGTATACAACAGAAGTGAGTGCACCCCACAGTAATTTCATTACAATTAGAAGCTGTAACAGTCAGGTATTTACTCTTATGCAAAATTAAAAACTAACAATTTAGATTTACTGTCTAAAAAAACACAGTTATAATGGAATGCAATAAAAGGACTGACATTCATGTCTGTCTTTGTCAAAACTATGTGTGTCCCACTTCATTTTTAAAGACAATCCGCCTCAGCATTTAGGATACCAAAGAGAGTTTAGAGAGATGTTCCGCCTTTTCTAGAGACAATTCTTTTCAGCTGCTCTTTGCTGAAGGATTTGCGTTTCTATACCTTTAACCTTGAAATTATGAGCAAGCAGTCGCCAACAATAATTTTAGGAGGAGAACCACTGTGGGTAGTATAATTCAATATAGTGTTTTTTAAAGTATTTTTTTCCAACTTAGAAATAATGCAATCAAAAATGTATTTAAAATTTTGCATCATTTGACATTTAAGTGATATTGCATAAGGATGTATCCAGGTCTAATGTATACTATATAATTGGAGGCAAATTTAATAAAATGAGACGCTGTATTTTGTGAAAATAAAATCTCACCTTAGGCCCAGAGGGTCCTTGAGATCCCTGGATGGAAAGCAGGAAACAGTGGGATTATTGACACAAACTATACTGTTGTTGCAAGTGAATGATTTTTTTTTTACATTCAGTGACTATGGATATACAGTTAAACTAGAAGTTTACATACACTGTATATGAAGTCATGTAACCTTTTTTTCCCCCTCACTGTCTGACATTAAATAGACTAAACTTTTCCTGTTTTAGATCAGTTAGGACTACCAAAATTATTTCTATTTGCTAAATGCCAGAATAATTTTGTGACAGTGAGAAAAAAAAGTCTTTTTATACAGTGTATGTATGTAAACTTCTGGTTTCAACTGTGTTTTTGTTCTTCTTAAAATAATATCTACACTTCCAAGACCTAAAGAAACCACAAGTTGTCTTTCTGCATAAATTGGATGACTTGAAAAGGTAGTGGGGAGGTAGATGTAATGTAATCAAACTGATGGTGCTTCTACTTAAGATAAATACTGAATAATGTGCAGAAAATTATGCCTACATTCTATCTGAGTCTTTGATGGTTTTAGTTACCTCCCTTTAAAAGTCTTTTAAATGCCACCTTTCAATGCAGGCAAACATTAAATTACTGCATTAATTTCTGCATTAGAGAGTCTGCACCAAATTAGACCTCTTTAGAACTGTGTGGGCAGAATTGCTTAATTTACAGCTCTTACACTTTCCTAATGCACCTGTTAAGGTTCAACTCTATTACAGTGTAATAGAAAACAACAGGGTCTTTAGTCTTTAGATTTAGAAGGCAAATGGCATATTTGACTCACTGCTGGGCCAACTGGTCCTGGAGGTCCTGGGGGCCCTGGAGGACCATAGATCTGAAAACAGACACACGACACAGGCAAAAATCTGCAGTTCAGAAAATAATGGTCATTCAACAGGTTCTGTGGTCTGAATTAGCACAAAGTGCACGGATCAGACCTGTGACTTTATGAATGACCCTTACCATTTCTGACCTTCCTCCATCTCCAGGTTCACCTTTAGATCCCTGCAATATGTGGCAAAGACACAGACACACAGAGTTGATACATTTTGTTATGACACAAACTATTGAGTGGCTGAAAAACTTCACACAGCACTTGGGGTGATTACAAAATCACCCCAAGTTACCCCTTTGAAAGGCCAGACACTGCATCCAGAAAGATGCAGGCTGAGGGGCACCATTGCGTACCATTGTGCCAGGTAATCCAATAGGGCCAGGGGACCCTGTGGCCCCTTTTTCACCTGTAGGGCCATCTAAACCCTACAGAACAAGGAAGGGGAGACAGACATCATAATAATGGCAGAACATTTGAATTCAGGGACTGAAGAGGTAATCTTTACTTGAACAAAACAGAAAAGACAAACTAAAATGTGCTGTTTTTATCCAGTCTCTGCACTCATTACCAAAACTTTGGACCTGTTAAAAATCTGGTGACTGCTGTTTTTTAAACATGGTTTTCAAAAATGTCTATTTTGCCTACTTTGTTTTATGACTGTGTGTAGCTTAGTGTCAGCGGTCTGATGCTGGTTCTGAGGACTGGGGTAGTGGTTTGTCATTCTTGTACAACCAGTGGTGACAGTTGGGAATTAAGTGGTCTTGAAAGAAGAACCCCTCAACAGCATCCAATTACAGCCCACACCCAGCAGCTGTTCTGCTAAAACATGACATTTGGAGTGCTTCTAGCCTTAGTGGAGAAAACTAAGTAAGTATTATACTTATGTATAGAAATCTGAGGTACTTGTACGTACTCAAGTATTTCTATTTTGCACTACTTGCCATACTTTATTCTCCTAGAAATTTCAGAGGGACTTGAATTATGTTTTTTATTTTATTTTTTTTAAATTTCAAATCCAAATGTAACAAAACCAGTATAATATGCCAATATAATCTTTTTTTTGGTTTGTTTTTAAATATATTTATGCATTTTCTTAGCTATGCAGAAAGGGATGCAATGCTGCCCAACCTACCTCAAAAGCAAACAAACAACCAAACAAAAGAAAGTATATTCAAGACCAAATGTCTTTTTAACAGGTCAGAGCTGACTGTCAAACACACAAACATACAAAACTAGCAGCATTTACTGAAGGCTTTCACAGCTACAAATAGCAGAGCTCTTTATATGGGGGCACATTTGGGATCCATGCCACAGTGAATTAAAAGTTATACTCTGTGTCATTCCCGGGGTCTCTTCCAAGCTGGTGTGTCTCTAATTAGATAATAAGAGGGCAGCTGGAAAAACCAAGGCCTTCCCTCTGAATAATAACAGATGTAGGACTCAGGCTTTGGTCGAGGAACCCCAGGCGGTGGTGTGATGTGGTGTGGTGTGTGGCTAACACAATCACTCACAGGTGATCCAGATGGACCCATGTCTCCCTTGTCTCCCTTGGGTCCTGGGAAGCCCATGACACCACCCTCTCCTCTGGGACCTTCAGGACCAGCTGGGCCTGCAGGACCAGGCTCTCCAGGCTTTCCTCTGGGTCCCTGAGTACGCATGACATCAGAGTTGCCTCAATTAGTTAAACATGAGCAACATAAACTTTTTTAAGATAAACATATATTTACATCAAATCAAATTTTGATCTTTAATCATCACTTTCACCCTGAGTAGACTCTCACAATTATACATTAATTTGCCAGGTTAATAATATGTAGTACTGGTAACAAAGCATTACCTTCTCTCCATCCAGTCCTGGTGGACCTGGTAGACCAACTTCACCCTGAGAACACACCAGGGTTGGGTTACCAAGTAATTAAATGCAACTGCCAGAGGGTCCAAGACCCTCAGGAACCTGCAATTTACTGTGTGTCTCTTGGTTTGAAGTAATTTGATTAACTGCACATTTGTCATTAATTGCTGAGATCTAAGTCAACCCTGAGTGAAACAGGATTGGTGGCCAGGTATGCATGAAATATGAAACAAAAGATTTGAGTAACAGACCCATGAATTCAAAGCCCTCTCAGATGGCACTGGGTTTTATATACACAGACAGCATTTTTATCTTTTGGTGCAAATATTGCAAAATAAACAATAGAAATACAAACATTCCATATATTTGATTGACCAACGCAGCGCCTTGCTTGATGATGCTGCATAGTGTTGTTGTTGAGTAAGGTCCAGGTCCCTTTAGCCTGATGAACCGGCATATTATTAGGATTTGAGCACTAACAGTGCAAGGACCCTATTGAAACTGCTGTGATTATTATACTTTTCTGTTCCCCGAAAACAAATGCACTTTTGAGGCCCGCACATCAGGACTGGTGAAAAATGTGATATTTTAAGGGATTTGGGCATGTCAATGGCTCCACAGCGCCCCTTTGAAAATTTCAACCGAGTCCTGTCGGAAACACATTTGGCCTACAGCTACAACATTTCATAGGAGGTTAAGTCGCACAAAAAAATTGACTGGAGCCAAGCTCTAAAATGCAAAATGGCTGAACAGCGCCCCCTAGAAAATTTCAACAGAATCCCATTGGGGCTACATTTCACTCATTTTCGGCCGTTTTCAAAATCTCTCTCCTCCTAGGGGGTACGTCGTATACACCTGAAATTTGGCTAGCACAAACGACAGGACATGGTGATTAAAATATATTAAAACACTCTGCAAAAGTCTGATGGCGTGGAAATGGTGGAGCACGGGATTTTGAGAAAATTCCATTTTGCGCATTTTCACAGTTTTTCAGTCATTTTCAAAAGTTCCTAAGGGTTATGTCGTAGACATCTGAAATTTTGCCAACACAGACTACAGGATGTGGTGATTAAAAGTTATTAAAACGCTCCACAAAAGGCTGACGGCGTCAAAATGAACTTTGCCAAAATGCCATAAAATGGCATATATCGGGATATGCTTCGTAACTGATCTCAGCGTGCTCCGATCTGCCCAGAGTGCGTTTCTGCCAAACCTCGACATATGCAAAGGCCGACAATCGTATGGCAAGGACCAGACCAACAATGCTTGCAGCTTTAATGTTTATTATTTTGTTTGTTTTTTTTTAAACATGAGGCTGTTGTGCTGCCCAACAGACCTCATCTAAATGGATATTTTTTTTGTAGACTTGAAGTTTGTCTGATTGCGGCCATAGAGAAGCTACACCACTGAAGTACAGTTAGACCCATGGTGGGCCCTGCATTACTATGTAATCCTTGGATCAAATCTGGTATCTGATCAAATAATCACAAAAAAGACAGAAATAAAAACCTGGGGTACAAGCAATCCAGTACAAGGAACAGGGGCTCAAAAGCAAATGTTTAACGGCCAACTAACAGGTTAATCTGGCTTATTATAGCTCACATGTAAATTCTGGTGTGTAATAAAACAGTGTGGGAATACCACATGTCAATTTTCAGTCTAAAATTTCTCCTACCTTGGTACCAGGGAGTCCAGAGGGCCCTGGAGGTCCAGGTAATCCAGGGGGACCCTGGGAAGAGACATGATCATGTTATTAATTGAAAGTAATAGAGGCAATGTATTTGCAGTTGTTGTCATAAACTCTTGAATATACTTACCATCAGGGGTATGTTGCGGATATCCTGTGAATTAAAATCTTTTGTTAATACGCCATTATTTTAGTTTTAACTCATTCAGCGTCTAATGAAATTTCAACTAATTCAAAGTACATACATTTTCATTGTTCTGAATTTCAGCCTTTCCTGGCTCCCCAGTTGGGCCTGGAGGACCCTATAAGGCAAAAGAGACCATTTGTAAAATGCATGGACAGCATTTTAAAAACTAGACTTAACTTGCACCATATGCTGATATTTGCAACATGGTGTCATCAAACTGCCAGGAAAGACTTACTCTTGGTCCAGCTGGGCCTTCAGTGCCTACTTCTCCCTAGAGGTTAAATCAAAGTCAGTCAAAATTGTCTAAAAATCTCCTCAATTTATATTTGTATTTGGAAAGTCATCTTTTCATGAAATGCTCATTTTAAGTCCTTTCATAATTCAGTTTTGTCTCACCTTGTCGCCCTGGTCACCTTTGTCACCCTAGAAAAACAATGTTAAATGGTAACTTCACTGAGCACTGGATTCTGCAGAAGTTTTAATTAGTATATGAGGAGGCACTGCTGTCTAAGGAGGCATCTTTTGACCAACAAAACTAATTCTTTTCACCTTGGGTCCTATTTGGCCTGGCAGTCCTGGTGAACCTGGCTCTCCTTTAATTGCCTGGGCTGTAATGCTCGGCTCTCCCTTGTCTCCCTGCAATAAATAGACAAATAAGTCTTAACTGAGGGTACACAAATTAGTATTAACCAGACAGTAACAAACAGGTTTTGACTGAAAAATGTAGATTTTTGATTAGCACTGTGTTACTTTTGCGTTTAATGTAGTGGATACTGATGTTGCCAGTGACTCAGTATTCCTCATATGTATAGTAAATATTCTAGATAAAGGACTGACAAATGAATGAAGAAAAATAGGAGTTGAGTATTTACTGAGAGCAGTAATTAATTATCCAATGAATGAAAGAACTATGCAAAGAAATCAACTTTTACTTTGAGCTTTGACTTTGCAGATGTTAACAAATAAAAGCCGTTCAATGCAAGAATATTCATTTTGAAGTCTCATACACTATAGGTAGCAAATCAATAACAACCTCCACGTATCTTGAGGTAGTTCACACACTTAACTGAAGCAACAATGATTCACACAGAAGGCACATTGATGTTTAATGTACATGCATTAACAAGAAGTGAACATCAAACAGATGACAGAATTTAATGAGGTGAGATGGTCACTGAAAAAACGTTTTGACCACGGAAAGAACAATTTGATCAAACAGATCCTAACTTTGTTTGCTTGCCAGTTACCTTTCCAGAGCTTCTGTCTGCATCACATGGTCTTCACCAGTGAAATAATTTTGCTCAGTTGTCACAGAGATAGCTATGCTGTCATGACGCACCCTTTGTATGGAGCTTTGGTCAGGTGGTTACATATGACAATAACACAAACGTCTTTGGCATTAGATGTGAATGTCTGCCTTGATCCTTCTTCATTTGTCCACAAAGTCCAGCTTGGAAGACTGTTGGCCTCTTCCATGAAATGCTGTAAGTGGTTCTGATTTTCAGTTAGGACAGGTAATTGTGTCTGCTATCAGTGTCCACTCTTTTCAGCAGGTTCCTTACTGTTTCACTGTGGCAGTGTTCCCCGCAGTGGTCACATGTGATGCTATTGCAATGTCGTACACTAGTGGTGTTGTGGTAAGATATTAGAGATTAGAGATTCTGGCGAGCTGTTCTGACAGACCAGTCATGTACCATGATGGGGACCCAGTGGGATCCTTCTGGTGATCGCTGTGTCTATCCTAGTCTTTAGTTAAGGTGAAAGCCTCAACATTCATTCAACATCTACAGGCCTCAGGTGCCTCCCCCCAACCTGCTCTGTGCAAAAAGATGGAATGTTATTTTATCTCTCAGACAACCGAGCAAATTCTTTCCACTAATGGAGAATGTGAGCAACTCCAGAAAAAAAAAAAAAAAAGCTAGTCAACAAGAAGTTAAAATCATCTGTTCTAAACCAGTTCAGATCACAGCACATCCAAGAATGGCCTCCGACAATCCATTCTTTTTGATCCAGTATGATTCAGTTTAGAATGAATCAAAGAATGCATGTATGAGTGTCGTTAGAAATCACATACTGTATGGTATGAAAAGGTTTTATGACAAGAATTAGCCAGTCCAATTTTGAACCAGTGGTTAAGGGTGATCATAAAATCCTTTATGAAGAACACAGCACTTCAGCAAACATGAAGTAAAGCATAACTAACAGGGCAGAAAGCTAAAACCAAACACTTGTGACTTCATTGGTACTTCGAGAAGTAACAAACACAAAACAATGATCTGATTAATAGACTTTACAGACATCCAGTTACGAGAGGAATAACAATGTCTGACAGAAGCACAACCAGACAGCATGTTCATTCAATTCCAGGCCTACCCTATAACCCCTCTTGCCAGGGATTCCAGGGCTACCATTGACGCCAGCCTGGCCCTTCGCAGTGGAAGAAAGACAGTTATGACCTACAGATCTCACTGGGTATGCAACCACTGCCAGACACACTGTTTAAGAGTGACTTTACCTTTATCCCAGGAGCCCCCCGGAAACCTGGCTCTCCCTACAATGACCGTGATAGTGAAAAAGTTAAAATATAGATAGATAAGAAAGTTGATACACTGTAAAATGTTTTTCCTTCAAGATTAAAAGAAATGCATACAAACACGTTAGAAAGCAGATATTCATGCACTGACACGAATGGTTTACTCAACAGACATGTTTGGCCAAAGGCCCAAGAGTTCAGGGGGCTCGTACACCAAGTAACTGCTAAAACCACCATAAAGAAATGCACAGTGACTACAAAGAGACACAAAACAGCCCCAAAAGATATGACAACACTGCAAAGGTACAGAAAATAACCATTATGCACAATGACCACAACGAAATGCAAAACAGCAGCAAAAAGACACAAAGCAGCAAAGAGAGACAGAAAACAACCGAGACGCAAAATCACTGCAGAAAGATCCCAGGCCAGGATGTGAACCAGGGACCCTCTAGCTGTGGGGCAGTGGTGCAAACCACCGAGCAGCCGTGCAACCCTCATGTAAAAGTATAAGATGAAACGAAAAACTATGACTGGTTAACTTCTGTCATGTGCCCACCACAACCCAGTGCAACTGGCTGTCAGTAATAGAAATTAGGCCAACTGTGTTCTTAGGAAGAAGATTCTTGGAAGATGATGTGCAGTCACAGCTGTGACAACATCAAGCACAGACATAGCTGGCTTGTACAGGGAGTCTCTACAACCACGTTTGCCCCAGTGGAATATGTATGTTGTCAACTCTGTGTCTGAGGATGCTTTGTTACAATTGCCCATGGTTGTAAACTGGATGACAAGTTGATTGCAAAGGTTGTCTCAGAGGACTGTGAACTAGCATCATCCAAAACAGAAACAGATGATGCAGGAATTATTTTAAAAAACGTAAATAGCAAATATTTTCTATTCTGGATTTAAGTTCTGTTGACTAGCCTTTAAATACATGTCACCGGTGTTCCTGGTTCCAGTGTCAGGATGTTTTAATCATTTGCTGACATTTTTTTAGCATTGCGTTTTGTGCCCTTTAGGCCACCAAGTGCATACGCAACAGGGTTCAAGAGTAGTTTGGCATTGGTTTAGTTTGGTGATATTAAGAAGCCGACTTGTCAGAAGAAGGTGAGAACTTTTGTCTGTGTAAAGGCCGTGACTATTTCCTGGGCACAGAATGCATCAGAGATCATTAACTGTAATGGATTATTCACATTATCACACGGCTTTGACCTGTTAAACTATGACCATTACTGTGCACAAACTGTCAGTTTCTGTTTTCAGTACACATCACGGATACACGTATACATATAAACTAAACCACCAACAAGCATATTTCCCATCAATAAACAATTATTGTCAATCAACTCATGAATTAGAGCTAAAATTTACAGCGACAGCTGCAGGATTTTTAAAGAGCAGGCTGTAGCTGTCAATGGGCATACAGAATGACCTCCAACAGAAATGTGGTGAAACGTTACTACAGGCCACCGTAGTTGGAGTTATGACGTTATAGAGGTGCGCTCAGGTTCAACGTGGTGTTTATGCTGCTGTCATGTATGATAAATAAATGACTAGCTAATGCCGAGCCAAGTCGACCTTGTCCTCATCTTTATTCCATGAGTAACATCTCATGACAAGAAACAAATTAATATGACCAAAATACTATTCATTTCTCTTCCTACTTAGATCAACCTGCTTTATAAAGTACACAATCAATCTATTTTGTGATGAAATACACATTTCATCAACCTCATCCTGTCTATAGTCAGTGCATTCATACTTCAGCCTTATTTAAAGCTGTCAGGGAAAGAGGAGGCTGGGAAGGGTGGCTGCGCACCATCTGTCCCTCTCTGTACCTCAACACTAACCCCAAAATAAACACAAGTTAAATCCCAAGGACAATCGGTCAAACTGTTACTGGAATGTTGTTATTGCTGACAATACTTCTAATCTTACTGCTGCAAACAGCAGCAAATTGATATTATTACGACAACTTCTACTACTGCTCTTAGGCATACTGATAATCTGGACATTTTGTCAAAGTCCTATTCACCCATTGGACTCACTGAGCGAAGACAAACTGAAATCAAATCGTCTCCAATAATCTGACACTTCTGTAATGTCTTTACATACATTCTCAGATATTACAGTATATTTCCTTTGAGCCATTGTTTCACTAATGATGAGTACAACACATAATGTTTAAGCCACAATTTTAGATATTTTTTTATACAAAGTGAAAAATGTGACTGTAGTCTTTCCCCATCATAGTGACAATTGGAATTGTTTTGGTGGAACAGGGCAACAAACACTGTAATGAAATTGATAATCCCCTGCAAAAAAAACCTCCCAAAACAAAACCAAAACAGCAGGGCCACAGCTGCACAATCCAAATCACCAGCAGAACTTGAACTTCTTAGTGGGTTTGAAACAGGCAGTCACCCTCACACTTAACGGGACTAATCATCCTCCAGTGATGTAGCAGGATCACTTATTTCAAATCTATTTGTGCTGCAGCCAAATCATTTGGTCACACTCTAGAGACAAGACATTAAAACACATCTACTCACTGCCAGCTTCTGTAATGATGAAGTACAAGTGCTGTGTCCATGTGTACACTAAGGTGTGCAATACACCCCATAATGTTCTACATCAGTCAGCAAGTGTCACCGATACGAATTATTATAGGTAATATAGAAGTGAGGTTGTGTATGTCACTGAAATTAATGATGGTAAAATGAATCAATGCCAAACTGCTATTGAGAAGCTCATCAGATGTCAAACCATAACAAACAGTATGTGTCCAAGAACAACTGTGATCGAAGTTAATTAATCAATACTGCTCACTATTTCTCAGCACCAACAGCTAGACATGAGTAACTGTGTACATGAGTAGTGTTAGAATTATGGGGCCAGATTTCTGATCAGGCAAACTACAATAACAGGCCACAACGTAAAGCTATGTGAGGTACAATGTGCGGTCTAGTTCAACCACAAAACTACTTGATAAAATGGCTTAAGTTAGTTCAATTACCCTCTATGACAGGGGTCTCAAACTCCGATCATCAAGCTCTGCAGAAGCCTGATAACGATCCTGATCATTTGAATCAGGTGTGTTGGAAGAAGGAAACATCTCAAACTTGCAGGATTGCGGCCCTTGAGGACCGGAGTTCGAGACCCCTGCTCTATGAGCGTCTGGTTTCCTACATTAGTTAATATCCATGCACACAATCCCAGTGTGTTTACATCTTGTTCCAGTTTGCATCCTCCCTTCTTGCCTTCGCTTTTTCTGACGTTGTTCCTCTGCCTGGGTGTCTGCATTTAATCCTCTGTACTCTTGGCTGTACATCAACAGTGACACTGGATTTCTGTTTGTTGCATATAGGTATTTGGCTAATCCGAAAAGGTGGGTGAATGGAGAACCTAATTGTTTTCTTTCCCTCTGTTCACAACATTTCATCCAGGTGAAAATCTGATGATGATGAAAATCCTCATAGTTGCTCATTTGCAGTGAAACAAGGCAGAGATGCTTTTTTTAATCAGTCAAACAAGTGCAACTGTTGACAAACGCTTTGGTCTGTCACTAAATCCACTTCCATTGTCGATGTCTGTTATGGCTCCCACCTCTACCGGCAAAGTAAAGTTAAAGCTGCTTTTAAAGACAGCTCTTAGATCATCCGAAAGCAAAGTAATGAAGCACTGAAGCACAGTGACAGACGGAATAAAGTTTTGAGGTAGTAGTTGTGTCTGTTTCCTTAATGGCTAGACATGTGTCTTTTGCCTGCTGGGAGTTTTGGAAGCAAAGAGGTGAAGTCTAGAGAAGCCATCATTTGTGGTCAACACCATGGAGATATTAATGGTTATTGGGTATACCACAAAACCTCTACCTGGCCCGCTTTGCAGTATTTCACTCTGGCATAAGGCACTAGCAGTCAGCTCTCTGTGATTATATATAGAACAGATTTCCCCTGAGTTGAAGCCTCAACTCCTCAGGCGGCCATCCTTTAACATCGAAGGATTAGCCTGCAAAATCGCTCTCTTTTTATTATTAAAAGTCTTTTAAGATTGCTGTTTCCTGTGGATACCCAGGGATATGCAAGTTTTTTTTCTGCTTTGACTTTTTCTTCCTCTTTCCCTCATCAGTCAGAAATACTTAATGGAGAAAACATGCATACGTATGGCTGCAACTTCTGCTGCCATGCTTCTGCCAAAGAGAAGCTTTAAGTCCAGGTCAGCTGGGACTCCTAAAGTGCTGGAGTCCATCAGAAGGAGTATGGAAATTAGAGAAATAGGTTCACTAATTGATTTAGAGGCAGGGGCACTGTTATTGTGGCAGAGAGATTGACTGACAGGGTTTAAACAACAATCTAAGCCTGATTAAATAATAATAATAAAGTCGCTGCAAACATTTAATAATTGTTCGGCACATCAGTTGTCTCTGTTGTTCGTTAATCACCCATTGGAAGCTATAGTCCCTAAATTTTATCAAGAGTGGTTGTTTGTTACATTATTACAACAAAGATGGCTGCCATTTCATGTAGCATGTGATGTGTTGTTTTTTTAATATGGTAAGAACTGGTGGTAGCCGAGCAAATTACAAGGTTCATTACTCCAATAAATTAGAGGGCCCAATGGTAGCATTTAGAATATAAATAGGGCCAGAAACAGACTCTTGACGCACATCCATAGCTCAATAAAAAACAACAGGTGCTCAGAGTTCATTATTCCTAGACATAGTCCCTCAGTAATTAGATAATATTGATTGCACCACCAAACCATTACAGTGTTACTCCACGTCCTCACGGTGTATTTAAATTTATGCACGGTTCCAGATTATTTCTGTGTTCAAAGGCCAACAGCAGGTCCTCACCGAAAAGATTTAAAGTGCCGTTCCACTAAGAGATAAATTTAAACCAAGTTTCAATCATCCAGACTCCAGCAGCAACATCTGGGATCTTGCCATGCATAAATAAACCTCAACATGCCACACGCACAACTCTGTGCTTAGCTTTCACTCTACCTTCTCTCCACTTTCTCCTGGGACACCCCTCTTTCCTTCATCTCCCTACAGAGTGGAGACATCAGTTCAGAAGCGGTAGGGCAGTAAAAGCAGACACACCCTTTCAACCAGGGGAAAATCAAAAGACGAGCAAAAAACTCTGGGGAAGAAGGGTGTGCTCTTTCTTGACAGAGACCTAACAGGAGGAGATCTAAATCTTCAGAGATGACATTAGAGGCTCTCTATCATGCTGGTCCCTGGACAAAAGCAGCTAGTGGTTGCCTTGGAAAAGAATTACACAGTAGCCAGTAGTGGTAGAGATCTCGTGCAGACAGAGCAAGTGAGGTCCTTCAATGTTGACCTTTGTTAAAACTGGAGGCCCAAAGTTTATTCCAGCTGTCATATGGTTTGGGTTTGTGAAATGTGTCTTTCTATTAAACTATAAAGAAAAACTCCCAAACCCAGGTCATAATTAAGTTTGCACTTAAATTCTAAATGAGCAAACCGTAAACAATGAGACACTAACATCTTCTAGACATGCCAAATAGTTGACATACTTGTTAATACGGATACAAGCAGTGCAAGTTTCTTGATGATCTCATTGTATCTGCATGTGTGTAAAACTAAAGCAACGTGTATTTCTCTAACAAACAGTTTGACATTTTGACTTTTTCTCAAGGTATAGACCACATCACACAACCTTCAAATCAGATGTCAGAGTGTGTTCATGGCAGCTCTGGAACAGCTAGTAAGTGAACTCTGTACTGTCAAACTTCCAAATTTCCATTTTTCAATTCAATTTGCTCTTTTTTTTGAAACAAAAAAACATGTATTACAAATCTGCTGTCGGTGATATTGAATCTTGCAGATAAACTACAGATTAAGTACTCTTATGTGTTCAGAAAATACTTTTGTACTATCACTTAAATCAGATTGGACTGAAAATTTGTTAAAAAAATGCAAGGTTTAAAAGCTGATAGATGATACATGGCTCTTTGTAAGTATGTCTGGCATGTGTTAACCATAGAATAGATACATTTTAATTTTTAAATAGAATAACTTAACAAAACAAACTGACGAATAAAGACATCTCTGTAGGAAGTGAATAAACTCCATCTGCTAATCCAACAAAAATCTAGTACATGCCTGTTGAATAAAGATTATATTGTCACAAGACTTCTCGTCTATGTCCCTATAACATAAAAAATTGGCATCATCCTTTATTTGCGACTGCTTTCAATATTTTTTGACAATTCAAAAAAATGAATGAGTAAAAAAAAACCTCACCTGTATTCCTTGGTCTCCTTTATCTCCCTGTGAAGCAAAGCACAGAAAAATACTGTAATTACTGACAACATTCACAGAAGTCCACTAGATGGAGCACACGGTCTTCAGTAAGCACTGTAAATTGCAACGTGTCCAAAAAAAAGCCAGATAGCGCCTGCAAAGACCGTTTCTCTGTCCTCTTAGTGACGTTGGCACTTGTAAATCTCACGGCAGAAAATAGAAACAGCATTTCAGACTGATTTCATTAAAAAACGAAGTAGGATGGAACAGCTGGGTTTTAAACAGCAATAATCAGTGCAGAAGGTCACAACAAACAGGTTGTTCCAGCAGTCAGCTTCAGGAAAGCAGCAGTATAAACTTTAAAAGGAAACTACATTTTCACTCTGACCTTTTCATAAATTACATGAATCCAAACACAGCCTGCAGTGCATTCTAGCAAGCATCAGCTTTGAACGTGCTATCATACTAAAATCCTTGGTGGATTCTTTAAAGTACCGCTAATTTACTTTTACTGCAAATTCCCTCCCTGTGGGATTAATAAAGGTTTTTAACTTATCTCATTTTTTTATTTAGAAAAAAACAATAATGAAAGTAACTGTGTAGCACAAAAGGAGTCACTCCTGTTATAACAGAACCACAGAGGAACCACAGAGGAACCACTGTGGTTTTGCCAGATTGTGTTACACAGACACAGTTGGTAGCAACATTGTATTTAAACTCTGTTGTCACCCTAAACATTTTCATCATTCTGAGCACAGATCACGCTCAGAGCACAAATACGATTTCCCCTTGTTCATGTCTATGTGAACCAGTGGTGTGCAAACAGTCAGTGGTCAACAGAGCTTTAAAGTAGCTTAATGCCAGCTCAAGACCATGTACACTCAGGTCTCTTCATATCATTCAGGTAACTTCCTTTTTCTTCTACCAAAATTTGAGCATCGTAAGACGGTTCCTACCTAAGAAAACCCTCTCTCTGACCTATCACGGACAGACTTGTTTACTTTTCAACATTACTCTAATCTTTATCATTATTATAGTATTTTCATTTATCCTGCTTTGTATTTTCCCCTCTCTGTTCACATTTTTGCCATCTATGTAAATACAATGCCATATAATGGCTTCAGTTAGCTGCAAAACATATGTGTGCGTTCGTGTGCATGTATCCTCTAGAGAGAGTCTATTAAGCAACGGCAAAAGTCGAGACGAACGAGTATGAGGTGAGTGTCGTGCTCATAGCTCACATGTCCCCGGCACACAGCTTCAAAGACAAGGTTAGAACTTTTAAGCTGCCAGCCATGCAGTGTGTGTGCATGTTTGTGTGTGAGCGCCTATGTGTGTGTGTGTGTGTGTGTGTGTGTGTGTGTGTGTGTGCGCTTGTATTACTCATGCTGTGCAGACATAAATCTGTTTACACAGTCACGTTGTGGGGACCTGCATTTTGAACACAAACAAGTTCCTTTATAGTAAATCATCAGACCTGATTTAATATTAGCGGGAATCTGAGTATAATTTAAGGTTCGGGGAAGAGTTGCAGTCAGAGACGTAGTAGTTGTGGTCGGAGGTAAGTGTCTAGGAAGTTCATGTAAATCAATATAATGTTCTCTAAAATGATGGAAACACAACTTTGTGTGTGTGTGTGTGTGCTATACATGTTGTCGGTGTGTGTGTGTGCGTGCTGTGCTCATCCTTGATGACTCAGTTCTAAGGACGATATTATACAATAAGCCAGCACACACTTTCCATTGAATAAATGTCAGAACCATAAATGTGGCAGCAGATGCTTCCTGCATCATTTTGTGAGGTCAGGGCCTAGATTTTTTATTTATTTATTTAATATCATATCGCAACTACTTCCCAAAGCTTCCTTTAATGTGCTGCTTTTACAACTGAATATTAACAAAAACAAAGTGATGCTTGCTGGGAAGGGCCAGATGATGCCTCTGAGAGAAAAAGACAAATCCACTGTGCTAAAATACTGTTTGTCTGCTGAGTCTATAGTAGTTTGTTTGTTCGACAAAACAAAGAGAAAGACCTGCTTGTGAGTACCATGGTAATAGTAACGTCTTAATTTGACTGTGGCACAGCTCATAGTTCAGCAAGGATCCATGTGATGTATATTCATTCTTTGCCACATTTTGTTTGCAAAGATTATTGAAAATAGGTACGATGTCATGAACAGGTCATCAGAGCTCCAGGGTCATGGGCTCACTAATACACGTGGGAGTAAAAGTGCGATCTTATGGTCAAAACAGTTACTACAGCTCCACAGAAGTGTCACCACAGCCCCATACGCTGTTCACTGTCAGAAGCACCTGCAGTGGACATGTGAGCATCAAAACGGCACCATGAAGCAATGGAAGAAGGTGGCCTGGTCAGATGAGTCATGTTTTCTTTTTTTTTGCCAGGTGGACAGACGTATGCGTTCATTTAACTGATGGAAAAAGGGAAGCAGGACACACTATTGGAAGATGGAAAGCTGGCAGCAATGTCAAGGTGTTGACTAGACCTCAAAATTCCCCAGATCTAAATTCAATCAAGCATCTGTGGGATGTTCTGTTAAAAGAAGTCAGATCCATTTAAAAACCACCTCACAATTTAAAGTACTTAAAAAATCTGCTGCTAACATCTTGGTGCCTGATACCACAAGACACCTTCAGAGGTCTGTGGATCTGGAGTCCAGGTCGGAGCTGTTTTGGATGCACCACGGAGAGCTACATAATATTAGGCGGGTATTTTTAATGTTGTGGCTGTACACCCCAATTCAGTTTTGATCTGCGTAAGAAAAAAATTCTCTCTTTACAGTGCTTTTCAAAATCTCCATGTGATCTAGAGATGAAGGCAAAGACACATTTCAAAATTCTCCCTAATGTCTCTGATCCATAGATGCCAAGGTTGTTCATTTTGGCCTTACAGCTATGAAACGGTTACGGGCTGAATTTGGGAATTTTTCTCAAGTGAACATTTCCAAAAAGAGACGAGGGCTTTAGGGGTTCAGACAGATTTAAAGAATTTTGCGTCACCCTTTGGAGTCTAATGCTAATGTTTTCTCCTGAGCTGCCGACTGAAACACAAAACACTTCAGTTAACTTGAAAATGGTAGAAAGTGAAATACCTTTGGGCCTTCAGGACCTTGTGGGCCTGCATCCCCTCGGTCACCCTGTAGGTGGAGAAAATAAAAATATGAATCAACGCTGATTCACAGAACGCTGATTAGCAGCAAACAGATGATGAATGGTCACGATACAAGCAAAGCAGAAAATGATTTGTTGAAACTAGCTTCTCTTGTGGAACCTACAAGTACTACTTTGTTTTCTAAACTACCAGCTGACAGACTGGTAAACCACAAAAAAGCTACTGTATGCTTTTGAGCCAAAGCAAAACAGCAACGAATGAAATACTGCTTCCTTGTGCTTCAGCATTAATCTATGCAACACTACGTCCACTATTACTGGGGAAGTTGTTCGTTAGACAATGTGTACAGCAGGTTCTGTGGTGAATTTCACATGTCCTAAGCAATATAATCATTTTCTGTTTTCTACTGATAATATTCTTCAGAAGGAGACACACAGAATGGACTTCAGCTTTACTCCTGGCACACCTGCTTTGTCCAGCCAGTGTAACAAATGCTTGTTTTTGAAAGTTGAGGCTTAATATGAGGGCGTGTTTTCCACTTTGATGCATTTCTGATAGAACTGCTCAGCTAATACTCCTTATGCTTAATCCTTTAACTGTACGAACCACCTCCTGCTGTGAGATTCAGCTTGTTTTCCACAGTGAGAGGTATTTACAGGACTCATTTCTCTGACCTCACTATCTACATTCCTCCATTAAATAACCCATGACAAGTTCTGCATCACGTGGAGATCTGCTCGAAAGGAAACACAGAGATGTCTAGTATTTCTGTTTTGTAGATGAGGTTGTTTGAACTTCAAAGCAGCTGCACAGAGGCCTGGTGAAAACATCTAGACTTGATCCATGTGACTTGTTTTATTTGGGCCTGAGCGCGTTTTTCTGTAATGACTGTAAAGTCATCAAGAGAAGCCAGAGGGATGCTAATCATTTTTTTTCAGCATTTTGATGTTGTTGCTTGGACAAGTAAAGAAATGTGTTTACCTTTAATCCTGGTATAAGCTGCAAAAACAATGTAGAAACAACAAAAAAGTTAATGCCGCCCCAGACAACTTTCACTGATTGAAATAGTTCTGGAACAATGAAAGTGGAGGAGTCGCTGAACCAGTGCTTACTCTTGGGTCTTTTCCTGGTTTCCCTGGCTCCCCGGGTTTGCCCTGTATGAAAAGAGAAAACATTGTTTCACGGAATCTAAAATCTGTTTAAAATACTAGTTCCATGGTGCTATTTAAATATGCAAATAATGCATTTTGTCGAAGTAATGAAAGCACGACAATAAATTCCTTCCCCATTAGAGTAACTTATGCAACTGCAACAAAGAAAATAACAACATTTAAGGCACATATAGCAGCATGTCCAGATTTTATTGGTGTCCATAAACAAAGCATTTCCCATCCATGATTAGATTTGTTATCCTTGCTATGCTTTTTTTTTTACTTTTTTTTTTTTTTTTAAATAAAAAGCTAATGGAGCCTTAATATTGGTAGAAGTGGGGAAAGACCCCTGTTTGAATCTTATATCAAGGGTATGTCATTGGACAAATCAAGACTTCAGTGTCATTGTAGCATTGGCTCTGTCAGGGTTAAACTTTTAATTTAAATTCAGGTTCAACAGATTGTGACTGCCATGACACAACTATGTGTTTTCTTTATTTGTCCCTTTCCTATTAACCAACAAGCCAAACTATTTTGATTTGGATGTTGAAGTGAGCTCTTTTCACAACATAAAAAGTGGTCATTTGAATTATCCCACATGGCAGGAATCTGTCATAATTCACAGGAAGGAAGCAAAGTCCAGAACATGATAGAAAAAGTATTTCGAGATGCCATCATTTAGGAAAGTGTGTGTCACTGACCAAAGAAAGCACCTATGCATATCCATTCCCTTTGTTTGCTGATCATTACTCTCCTGTTTTACTAATGCACCTTTCACATTATTTACACAGGAAGTTCAGATTTCTGGCTACCACATCCAAGGAAGGTAGCAGGTGCAAATTACCCACTCCTGGCTCTGGAAGGTAGTGACGAAAAATAACATCTACAGGACTCTTTTGAGGCTCCATAATTGGAATGAAAACACTTTAAATTTACACGACAACTCATTTGGGGAAAGAATAAGCAGTGGACACCTGATTAGAGTGAGACACACTCTGTGTTGTTTCAAATCTTCTTATATGTAGAGTACTGCACATAGATGAGAAAAATGATTCTGGTTGCTCACAGATAAAGTACATAATGTTGTTTATCTTGTAACTAGAGTACATATTAATGTCTGGGATACATTCAATGGCAAATCATTATCGCCTGATGACTGGATGAGAATATCTTCTGAGTATCTATAGACACTGGTCCTTGGAAGGACAATGCTGCTAATATGGTGATGCATGACATCACAGGGCATCTCATTTTAACAACATTTGTAAAAGTACTGTACAGTATTAACATTTAGCATCGAGGGTCTGACCGCACTGCTGGGTTGGTTATTGGTGGGTTCTTCGCTCAGGGTTTTGAAACAATAACAGTAGCAGCACCATAGCTGTCATGTGAGCAGTGGTGCACTAGCGCCTACATATTTGGTTGAAACCAATTTACGAACTATATCTGCTCCATATTACACCATAAAAATTATCAACTTCTGTGAACAAAGCATTATACAGCTACAGGAACTTAAAAATATATCTAAAAACTAACAAAAAAACCCAAAACAGATGGCAATCTAACCAGGATATAGGTAGAATTCAAACATCAGGGTAAACTCAGGCTGGGACTCACCGGTGGGCCACTGGTTCCATCCAGTCCTGGGGCCCCTGGTGGTCCAGGTGGTCCTGGGGGTCCTTGTGCTCCAGGCTCGCCCTGCTGAAAGACCACAAGTTACAACCTGCCATGCTGGAGTGAGCCCTGCCACACTGGCCATGCGATTACAACCTCATACTACACGGCAAGAAATGCAGCAGGGACGGGGGTTGTTGCAGAGAAAAGTTAGCTGGGGAGCAAGGCAAGCGGTTATAATGCTTCAGCACAAAGGTTCATTTTTGAACTTCGGAGAGCAAGTCTCTGATAAAATATTCTAACCTCAAGGTTTCTTACTAGCTTTTCTAGGGCTTTCAACATATACCATGACCCACTGGAATGGAACTTGCTCAGGTGTCAGGACATGATCAAGGACCTTTGTGACAGTGTCTTAGTAAGTACAGGGTTAAAAAATAAGAACCCAAAACATGATCTCAGTGCTTCGTTTCACAACTTTGACCCTGTCCTGGTTGTTGTGACCTCAGGATTTGGCCCTGACCCAGGGTGCCAGCATAGACCATGTGGTTGTGAAACCAGTATTTTGTTCAAGGAGACGACTAAGAATGGTGTCCTGGATCATTCTCTGGTTATCCAGTGATTTTAAAGCCTTCTCCACAAAGTACCCAGAGCACCTTGGGTATACCCAGTTCCTGGAAACTGTTCACAACACTGAGGAGAGTTTGAGCATTAAAAGATTCAAGAAGAACATTCAGTGATGGCAGAGGCCATCTTTGAACTGAGACAGGCTCATGATTTCCCCTGTTGGGGTACCAAATTTTGGTCACATGACATCTGAGTAAATTCCATTAGCTTAAAATGACTAGTAAAGCCATGGAAAGCTAGTGCTACACCTTCAGATTAGAAACATTTATATTTGCCGTGGTTACAATGCTGTTCTGCTCAGTGGCTACCTCTGTTTAAAGAGCAAGGCAGTAGGAAATAAGTGACACTGATGTACATTTTTTATTTATTTTTTACTTTTGACAAGCTAAACATAAACACTAATGATCTAGTGTCTTTAATTTATCCACATTTTTGTGGTCAAAAGTATACTGCTTTCAAATTTAGCTTTAAACTTGCATTGGGTAAAATTTTGACATTGATCTCTCTTGTAACTTCTTTAAAGTATGCAAAAGATCTGTGTGTGGCTATTTTGAAGACTGCTCACTAATAACCATAACCATGGCGATTGTTTAACACCAAAGCCAAGACCAAACAATATTAAATAAAGGAAATTAGGCACAAGATATGGAGCAAATTAATATACTGACTGAAATGAATCTGTCTGCTACATGCTCTGAATCGGCTCATTAGTTTTTTTATTCTAAAATAATTCCTACGTTGTTTTTTTTTTATTATTATTCTATTGCAAAAGGTCAATATTTCACTAAAAATATGCCTACACATGGAAACATCCATTACCATGGAGGGCAACAAGTTTGAACATACATTTAATGCATTGTGCTTGATTGATTTGCACATGTGGTCTAACTTAGAGAGGTTCCTAAAACAAAGTGCTGGCCATACTTCAGTCAGCAATCACTGTGTAACTGGAGGAGTACTTGTACAGTAGCACAAGACCAGAGAGACCAGCCAAGCTTCTATTCCAAGACAATGGAAAACATATCCATCGGCAATAAATCTTTTTTTTCTTCTTTTAACCCTAACCCTTCATTGTTTATCTATACTGCACTGCAAACGTGTCCAGATATTATTTATCAGTCTGGACGTGTCAGAGTTTTCTCAGGATTTAAACACAGACTGATATGGGAGCTGCCAATAGCCGTTAATAAAATGTGCTGTTCTGCACAATTTAACCACATTCATGACAGAACATAAATTATATGAACTAATGTATAGCAGCTACTTAAATGCAGACCACTTTCTGCATCATTTGAGAGCTTTGTCCAGTGTTGTAGAAAACCATGGACAGTAATTGCTTTAAAGACATCAAATGCTTTTTTGAATGACTCATTAAATACAGTAAAGGAGTTGTGATATGATATGAGCAGCTCAATGGCAAGATGTATGTGTTTTAGTGAGTGTATTCATGGTTTCATTGTATTCATTTATTTAGAATCTTATTCTAGCAATTTGAATTCTGTATTCCACATATTTGGATACATTTTTTGCTCTATTTTTTTTATTACTATCATTACTATATCATTTGTTGACAACTATTGAGTGTGTTCTGTGACTCATATCCATGTGCACCTACAAAACTAAGTCTCCATAGGATTTGTTAAAACTGGTGATGCAGTGCCAACCTTTGATGGCATACATGAAGTAATGTGCCCTTCATGGAGCAACTTAACAAGTAACGCTATGGAGGTTGGAGTGTTCAGCAATTCATGTTTCCCTCTCTTCATTTTATTGTAACCAGGACCTTTCCCTAACGCTGACCGACACCAAGTGTTTTAGTTGTCTAGTTTATTTGCCATAGCCACAGGCGATGACTGTAAGAGGTTGCTAGAGTTGTAAATTCTTGACTTTTCCTTAAATTTTGTGATTTATCAGCGGAGTAAGGGGGCCTTCAATGGAAATGTATTCTTCTAAACCTACATTACCTGTATTTGTTTTTGTTGTCTAAAGATCAATGCAGCACAAAATGCATCTGGTTTGATTTTCTGAAATGCATGGCTGAAAGAAAACACCTTTACCTCTGATGTGATTAAAATTACAAAAGCAGTAGCAGCCAAACATTGCTCAATTGCAGCATGATGATGGATAGGTGTTGGGTAGGTTGGAGCAATGGATAACGGCGGCTGGCATTCACACAGTGGGCAGAAATGAGCAGGGCAAGTAGGGAGCAGAGAGAATTGTACCTTGAGGCGTTTTAGGATTAGAGGGCTTATTGAGGGCATGTTGCGCACGGTGATGGGCAACATCTGCCAGGGGGGAGTCACAAAGCACAGGTGGCCAGCAGTGCAAAAAGGTCACAGGGTAAAGGTCACCAGGAGGCCAGAGAAAGGAAACAGGGTAGAACCAGGAGAAAGAGGGGAAAAGGGGGGGGGCAGGGGTATGGAGGAAAAAGAGAAATAGAACATGAGAGTGAAAAGCAGGGAAATGGGAAGTCAAAGGAGAGAAAAAAGGAAACTAGGCTGACGAAAGAAAAGACCGAGGAGGCACCAGCACAGCAAACTATGGGCCTGAAGTGGCAAAGGGGATGGTTGATGTACTGTGATGCTTCTTTATTTTAAAAGACACGTGAAAGTATTCAAATTTCTTAGATGCTGTTGGGAGTCTATTTTTTGCAACTCAAGCATCCCCTACTCAGGATTTGTATGCATCAATGTCCCCATTAACAGTAACTCAGGCCCCTAGATTGCGGCAGAGCAGAGGTGGGCCAGTCTTGCCACAAAGAGAGTGCAGCAGTATAGTTACAGTACACATCCAGACTTACTGTGGCCAACTGTCCAACACAGGGCTGTACAATACGCCGCTTCTGTTGAGATGACCAGCACGATCAGATACAAGTTTAGGAGAGGCCAGTACAGGTAAGTTCCTGCTGATTTTTCCCACTGACACCAAATAGGAACAGCTGAATGCAACTTGCCTACTTTTTACTTAGCGTACATATTTCCACAATTATTATGATGCAGCAAAGATGCATTAAACCCAAAAGAAGTGTCCGCCCCTCTTTACTGCTTTAACATGTGTATTTAGAACATTTCTAAATTTATGAAATGCTTTGTTTTTATTGTGTGACCAGTCACACAGTTGTTAAATAGATCAGTTGAAAGTCAAAATGTGCCTTTTCTATGGAAATATATACAGCATGTTACAAGTGATTATAAGTAGGGGTATAAAAGTAGTAAAAGTAGGCAAGTCTGTCGGTACATCCCTCAGCATTTCCAGCTATCCACCACAAATAGAAACAGGTTTAACAGTGTAGAAGTCAAAGGTGCCAATATTAAAGGGAAATAATTAAGAAGAATAGAACATCTTTTTCTATGTGTGCTTATGTCTGTGTCAACATTATGCATGATAAAGTGAAGATTTAAAGTTGCAATTCTTATTTAAAACTATTTTACTTGACTCTATTGAATCTTTTTATGTTGTTGTTTACTCCTATGCAAAGCAAAGGTAGGCAACGAGCTGAAGCCTCATACTACCCTTTCTCTCTTTTTAATTAAAATTATTATTCATTCTTATTTTTTTTACCAGAAATTCTTTGTGGAATTGCTCACAAATTGAAAAACATTTAAATCAAGATGCCAGGCAATGTGTGGCTGAAAATCAAAGATAAATCTGTTAATTTATTTTTTGAGTACATTTCTTCATACCTCATGTGCACACATAACGAAAAAGATGTTTTTATTCAGTTCAGTCATTTGATTTTAATATTGGCATCCCTGAGTACAAAGTTTCAAGTGTATGTTTTTCAGCAAACGTCACTTGAAAACTTCTGAACCAAAGTAGCAACATGATGACCTTCTAACAAAATATGTTAAATTGAATTTTTTCTTTATCCATTTATTTGTTTGGGTGGAGAGCAGAGGGTTGAGGAGTGCCTTTGCTCAATGGCACTGGCTCTCTTTGCGGCACGACTTGGTGACACCCCTGAGGATTTATCTATCAGGGTGTTGGAGTCACCCACAAACCTTTAACATCAAAGCCTGACTGGAGCGCAAGGCAGCCAGGGTTTTCAGAGGAAGATCCTGCACAAAGAGGCCCTAAACAACAGGGAAGTGGTTGTTTAAGTCAGTGCTAGTAATCATGGCAGTGAGCCATGATCCAACGAAACAGAAAGTGACATCTTGTTAGGTCTGACTTGAGATCCCGGTTTTAAAGCACAGGTCAAAAGGTTCCCTTTCTTTGTTTCAGAGTGTGAGATGTTCATCTGGATATCAAACTCTGTCGGTATTTGAAGTAAAGAGCTGTAGTCAGAATATGACTAACCAAGCTTGGCATAGACTGAAAACAGAGAAAAATAGCTGAGCTGACTCTGCTTATACTAAAATAATAATAATAATTTAAAAAACCCTCCAGTGTCCTGATGTGTTCTTGTAATTTATCTTTTATGAGAAGAGAAATGTAAAACAGTAATTTGTGACTTGAGAGAAATCAATCTTTTAACAGAAACACACCACGGTTTGTCAAGAAATAGTTACAAGACACAAATATCCTGTCATTCAGTAAGTCAGTTCAACATTCCTCTGCCTTTATGAGTTAAACATACATAACGAAAGATACAGTGGTTGGTAGGTTTGTTTTTTCAGTTTTTATGCTAAGCTAGGCTAACCACATCCGTCTCTCGCTCTGTAAGCACAGCACAGATATGAGCAAGGGGGCTCCTGCTGAACTACCATTTACAGAGAAAGTATTTGCTGATCTTGCTGGCTCTGTAATGAAAGGCAATCTCCTAAGAAACTGAACATTTTACCTCCACAAACAGAAACCCCCTAATCCCCATGGGTCTCACTATGGGAATGAGGCCTGGAGTGTGAGCAGACACTGGACATGGACCTCCCATGCACACTGCTGCAGGGGGCTCTGAGGAGTGTATTAAAAACAAATTCAACAGGCATAAAGCTTGTTAGAAAAAAAAAATGGGATTGACTTCCTCGCAGGATAAAAACATCAAACCCCAAATCCTCTCTGGGCCGTTCTTTCTCTAAACTCCCCATTCTCAAATTCACCAAGCCACAAGCACTTACTGTCCAGAGATCTATATCACAACGCCATGCTACAATGCTAAGCATTTCAACATGTATCTTGCTATTTTTAAAGGGCTTTAAATAAAAAAGAGGCAAATTTTATGAATAAAAAACAAATCCAGCAGGAGAAGTTGAATAAGTGAAAGGTTAAATTACGATGAAAATGGATTTGGCTATCTGAAAAATCACAGATTAAACAGGAGACTCTCTTCTTGGCACCCCCACACAAGGCTCCTATCACGTCTGACTCTATGCTCCGGCAGGCCGCCGGTAATTGCCCTGTTTTCTCTCAACTAACCAAACCCTAGAGACAGCAGGCAAAAGAACTGCAGAGCTCTGCATGTGCTCCCCATGGCTGTGCTGCACACCATTTGCCTATCGAGCTTCTGCCCATTTTCTTCCCTTCCAGTTTCACTTAAAACTGGGATGTTAAATGCTGCAGGATGAACAACAAAACACTTTAAATTTGATATCTAACAATATTTAAATAGCAATACAAATCATGGATTAAAATCATTTCTGAATTTTAGCATAAACACTGGAGAAGTGACAGCTATTTGAAACAGTAATGCATTCGTTAAACAATCATGTAACAGGAATGTTTACCCGGTGTGTGTAGTCTCCACATGTGCCCTGAGGAGAACAGAAAGAGTTCAATCAGAAACAAGAACACCACAAACAGTTGAGATTTTCACATACTTTCAGGCAGATTTCTTAAAATCAGCTTCAAATTTTTCACTTTTTAATGTGTTTTCTGTCTCCAGAGGAGCTTTAACATCATTTAGTTATTTCATGTTGGGCTTGAACACTGACATTTTTTTTTTTTTTTTTTTTTTTTAGCACAAAGCCTATGTTGCAAGCTGGGTGCACTGAGTTTGGCAGACTCAAGTGTTGTGTAAGAAGGTAGGGTTTAATATGATAATCATGTTGCATTATGGGAAATGTAGAATCAAATGTTTTCAAGTAGAGCATAAGCCATGCTCGGGAATAAAGTCAGGATGCCTCAACCTCTGCTTGTTTAACTACATGATCTGAATACTCATTCCAACACTGTTGGTTGTTACGCTTGCCAAATGGTCAACATTTTGCAAACCGTGTCTCACCTTTTCCCCTTTGGGTCCAGGTTCCCCCTAGAAAGAATAACAACACCGGTGAAAGAGAGAAGTGAACGGTTATAAACCCAAAAGATTAGCAGGTTGTTTTCTCAGGACATCAGACTTCAGGAACTTACTGGGATTCCTTTAGGACCTCGCTGACCCTGAAAGACACCAACAACACAGTGTGTCATAGCAGACATTGATTTGCAGCTTGATAGAAGACTCAGCATTACTGAAAATGAAGTCCTTTATTTAACAGAGGGGAAATGAGCAAACACAACGAGGTATCAATCAAACTGAGGAATTAACTGTAACAGGCGTCCTTTCTAATTACTTGTTAGGGACAAGGCCCTCAGTTTGACTTTCCATTAGGTGCTCGGTGTGCCTCCCTTCAGTAGCTGTCAGAGCTCGGCGACTGGTTGATTAATGAACTCAGGGAAAAGGCCCAGTTGGACACGTCCATTGCACCCCATGCTAGTGACCCCACACACTAAGCAGCTCCAAAGCTACTTGTGAAAGCAAAAGCATCAGCAACATCTACAGACAACCCGTCAAAGCCCCTTTCAGCACTGCCTGATATTTTTCAGGAAGGAGACAAAGGAACATTAACTCATTATGAGGCAATAATTACCATTCAGTTTGAGTTTCACAGTATCCAACCCTACTGGGACTTTTTTTTAAAGTTATACTGAAAGAATTCACTGGAGCTGAATGTAGTAGGTACAAGTCCTTCCGCTTTGAAAAACACCATTTTGACTTCCTCTCTTGTCTGACCAAGAGTAAATGTCTTCAAAACATGGTCCAGCAGAAGCTTCTAGAATCAGTGGTGGGTGTTACAGAACCAGAGCATCAATCCAGCTGGGTAGCACTGAGACTTACATCACAACACACTTAAAGAAAGACAACTTTGTCTTTTTTCACCTGAAAGTCTGGATTGAAGCTGGAAAAATTGATAGGAAAAAAAATCATGTAAACTCTGTTTCTTATTACAGTACCTGCATATGGTGTGATGAAGGACACATAAAGACCGTTGCAATGGTACATATATTTTGGTTAAGTTTAGAAAAAAGTCAGAGTTGACAAAATCATGCAGGACATGATGTACTGTATTAAAACTGAACGCTAAACATAAACTTTAATCGTCTGTGAAAGCTGGAAATCCACATACTTGCTTTGGCTTAGGAATAGCTGAGAGTGTGCCAGAGTGGGTCGTCTTAAAATCATCAGAAAGGAATAATTTCAGAAACCTAGTCCTGCATTGTCTGGATTGTGAGAACATGGAATGTTAAAGAAAATGCTTCAAGGCGTTCATGTTGTCAAGGCTCAATCAGTTCAATCTAAAGTCCCTTAGTGTGCATTTTACTCAGTCAGGGTCATATGCACTAAAAGTGACTGAAAACCAGAGTTTTGCTAACAGCTCCCATCTGCCCAGACCTTTTCCGTACTGCATTTAACCCACTGCTAGTCCATCACGTTGTTGCATAAATCAGGCCACGACTCTGTTTTTCGTATAACATTGTGGGTAAAAAATAAGCAGACAGCTAAAGAGAACCACAAAACAAGGTTCAAAGTATGAAAACTTGCTTTGGCCTTTTCATGTAAATTGTCACCTTATGAAAGTATATTAATTGATTCAAATGTGTGCTTTATTGGTAGTAAAGTAGCTATAGTGCAACTATGTTGATGACAAATTTAAGGGACACTTACCAGGTCTCCCTTAAGTCCATTCTGCCCCTGTGTGAACATTAAAACAGAACAGCTGGTAAAATAATTTCATCAATCAATGAGTCAACCACATACCTCCATTAAATTTCTCTGGAAAGATCATTTTAGAAAATTTCACAGTCATGACATCAGTAGAGTTTTATTATACTAATGACCAGAATCATTCGGGCACTGAAGGAGCACTCAATTAGTGTTGATTCACTTTTTAACAGAACTTTGAGAAACTCACAGGCTTGCCATCCAACCCAATTGGACCCTAGGATAAAGAAAAAGATGTTTGAATGAATAACAGATATCAGCAACTGCATTACAAATAGTTATGACCACAGCTGGCCCCACTACAGTTGGAAAACTGGGTGCCTACATAAACTGGCTAATAATTTATGTAAATATGCAAAGGTGGTGTCAGTGTAGCCTAATTAAATAATGTAGGTCATGGCAAATTTAGGTTGTGATTCGTTCTGATTCAGGATTGCCACTTTGTATCTATACTGTTGATAATGCTGTGTATCACACACTTGGATCTTATTGAACTCAGATATGTCAGTTGCTTAGGAGATGATGAATTTCGTTACAAGAACATTTAAAAAAAAAAAAAAAAAAAAAGTGGTAAGAAAAATGACAAAAAAAAAAAACTTTTTCTTCTTCATACCCAACATGAGTGCTGCTCAGCAGAACTGCCCTCTTTACTGCCACTGATAGAAGGAAACTACTTTTTCTTGCACCAAAACTACTCTGCATTCACTTATTTACGATCACCTATTGATCTGATTGTACTGTGGCTGAGCAGCGCATAGAACAACTCCTGTTCCATCTCTGATTTAGCTTGGTTTGTACTGAGGAAACCTCCTCTATCCTTTTGAAAGAAGTCGTGGTTCTTCTGACTTTACAAGGTGTTCTTTAAAAGGTCAGGATCCGTAAAATTGCTGACAGTCTTTGGTCAGGGCCTTGTTACAGTGTCTTCTCTTTAGCTTTGTAGCTCTGCTCCAGACAGGTCAGAGTTTAAAAAGAACTATAGCTCCATCAAAGTGAGCAGTATATTTGTTACTGTCAGTTAACTAGTAGGCACATATGAACAGGTCTCGCCATAGAAAATAAACAAAAACTGGCAAAAGCTAAAATCTTCAGCACAAATACTAAAGAAGTGGCAAGTAATATGACCATGAAAAAATGGTGGATTACTAATAACAAGTCGGTATAATACACTAATACAATGTTTTTTCATTGTTACTTATTACCAGTAACACTACACATTTACATACGTCTCAGAACCACTACCATATTAACCACTTCTCAAGCTATTTATCAACCAATTAGTTATTATTCAGCAGCTAGGTCAGAATTTACTCATTCCTTGGTTACAAATGAATATTTGGTGTACTATAATATTATAGTAATAATCATAATATTAAATCACCAGCTGTTGTATGACTCATTAAAGCATAATTTACAGTATCAGTTCAGCTCACAGTATGGTCATGACTTACTGGAAAGCCTGGAAATCCTCTTGTACCAGGTTGTCCCTTATGAAGAAGAACAACAAAAAAAGACAATGAGCCTCTGACATCAAAAACATGCTGGATACAGGTGGTCAGTGAATGGAGATACAGTAGCCGTACAAGAGTGATACTAAAAGCAGTTAGCATGCAGACATACATAAATACATTCTGTGTACAGGAGGAAATCAGAAACTGAACAGAGAGGTAGCTACAAGGAGTTTTAAATTGTACACACACACACACACACACACACATATATACATATATATATATAAAATGCTCAATTTGTTTTATTTATTTGAGACCATGAGATGTGGTTAAAAGCGCCACAAAGAACTTAAAAGTTTTCAAGGTCAAGAACAACCTTTTACACTCACCCACCCCGCTAAAGTACATTTTGAATCTCAATTTTGAATTCCAAACACTCTTTCCTTTATAATAGAGTCCTGTTGTGTACATATCTGTAAAAATGACTTCTTTGCAGCCCACAGTCAAGCTGCAAAGTTTCAAACTGAAATGATCCTCACACCCATCCATCCAACCCGCTGAAATGACAATGTGGCAAAGAAGTTGAGGCACTTGGCAAGCCGAAGCTGTTATTTCCTCTCATTCACCTCCCCCCTCTGTGGAAATAGGGCACAACTGGAGTCTTTAATGTCAGTCCCACCTGCTGTGGCAAACTAGCTTCTAAGTGTTTCTGACAGACTGGTTGTTGGAGTTTAGGACGCTGCTCCTACTGTGCAGACCTTCCTCTGCAACCTGTTATTCATTAGAAATGTCTATTACCATCCAAGAAGTGAAGGCACATATAGATATAGATTGCAATAACCATCCCTTAGAAAAACATGTGTGCTTCACTGAAGTTGGCTGGACTCTTGGTTTCCTTTTTTGGTTTTTGAAGATAAATCAGCAACATATCAAACTCCAGTAAATTAAACAGTAGAAGAAAAACAATCACTGAACTCATCTGACCTCCCACGAATATGAGCCATAACAAGAGCAACCATGAAGGCCTGGTGTCTGGACAACCAACAACGACCCCAGTTGGACCAGGATGGAGTTTCTTGCTTTGCTTCCCGATAAAACAAACATGACTGATGATCCAATACATAGCCAACTCTCTGTTCCAATGCTCTTGAGCAATACTACTGTTTCCACACAGTCTGTAATTATATAGGCTGGCATTATTATGTCATTTGTGGTGCATTCACCCAGTCTCGAATAAAGACGGTTTGGCCGGACTTGTGTAAACCTGAGTCCAGTCCCCCACAAGTCTGGAAAAGACAATTCTCTCTGACAGTCTACCTCAGTAAAGTTTGCCGGAGCTTGCAAAGTTAATGTGGTAAGCAGAGGTACTACTGTGTGCAGCCGTGATTCCAGAAAGGAGGTTTATTATGTGTAGGGAGAGGTGAAAACACTTACAGGAGGTCCTCTTGGTCCAATGATAGACAGGCCAGGCTCACCTGGTGCTCCCTATGGACAGATAAAACGACAGGAGCAAAACAAAGCATGACTAAAAGATGAGAAGGAAAGGAGAGTCTTTGCTTTCATTGTTACCTCCAGAGAAATTCAGCACATTGATATATTCCTCCAAAGGTAAATAGCTACAGGGGGAACAAATCCAACCACTAACACATGTATACAGTGTGGTATTGCACAACTGGTGTCACACTTCATAGGTGCTGCAGTGATAGTTTGGAGGGTTAGTAGGTGAACCATTGTGGATAGGGAGCTATCACGTTAGCCAGATAACTGACTTGTATAAAAGGGACACTCAAACAATTTTGCACATCAAAGTCAGTTCTTCATGATGAGTGCTACTCAAGCTGTGAAATGATGTGCAATGTTTTCTGTGCCTCCAAAGTCTCAGAAACATAACTACTGACACCAAAGTGTTGTCATCAGTTACATGAGAGCTACAAGCTACATATTTGCCTGCATTATTTATTATTTTATTCACATAAAGTCAAACAAAAGACTGATGTCAGAATCTCAGAAATTTTCTGAAATATTTTTTTGTTTTTATTATTGTGCAGTTCAGGAAATAACAGTCAAACACACAAAACTAAACTCTACTAAAAAATATATGTCCGCTTGAAAAGGGATGTAAGGACACCCCCAGACATTAAACTCACTGTAGAACTGACTTATGCAGTGTGGGTTCTCTCTAGGTTCTCTGGCTTCCTCCCACAGTCCAAAAACATGTTGAGGTTAATTGGTGATTCTAAATTGTCCAGAGGTGTGAATGTGAGTGTGCTTGGTTGTCTGTCTCTAAGTGTAGCCCTGTGACAGACTGGTGACCTGTCCAGGGTGTCCCCTGCCTTCACCCTAAATCAGCTGGGATAGACTCCAGCCCCCCCGCGACCCTAATGAGGATTAAGTGGTGTATAGACAATGGATGGATGGGAAATGCACTAAAGTGGAAATGCATAACTATTTTACAGAACTCAGACTCTAACTATTTTTCCGATATAATTCAAAGAATGAAACTCAAATGAAGTCGGAAGTTGGAGGGTGAAAATATCCAGCTATCCTCCTGCAGCTCTTCTCTTTCCTCGCTGTTCTAAGTTTCTCCCACCAGACAAGCATGAGTTTACTTTTGTATCCTGCATACCTGCTGTTGGATTTGAGTCCTTAACTCACCAATCAATGACATTTGGTTTATCAAGACACTGACAGAGTTTAGACACCTGTCAAACTTTCTGTTTATTGCATTTACAACCAATACAGGAAACCTTTTCTTCACCATTATAATGTATCTAAAATGCATTACACGACATAACTATCTTTAAAACTTGAAAGGTTCTTCTGTTTCTTTGAAATAATATTTCTTTAAAAGTGAATTTGAGCTAAAATGACACTAAATTACTTTCAGACAGCTCCAGGACAATGCTGGCATTTAATGTTTTTGACTTAAGAAATGCACTTGCTTTGCATTTGCATCTATGATACAATGGATTTAGAATGGTGTGTGTGTGTGTTTTCTAAATGAGCTCTTCATTTATCTTGCCTTTGTGAGCAATTCTATTTTGTTGCGTTTTTAACTTTGCTTTAAACTGTGCTGTTTAAAATGACCAGCCTTTAAGCGTTCATACTGTTCACTTCCATCCCATTCAAAGTGCATGTGATTTCAAGATTGTACTCTGACAATGTGAATTTTTTTGAATGTCAAAATAGACTCAAATGGTTAGCACCACTGTAGAGTAAACAGTGGAGTGCCTACAGGCTTTGGGTTTGGAAAAAGTAGTCAATTTATACCACGACAGCAGCACTCTCTGGAGCCTTTCTGACCCTCCCGGCCCAATCCAACAAAACACTGAAACCAGACTGGCCCAACTCAGATTTCCAGCACTTTTCCTAATTAGCTTCTTCTCCCCTCTTGAACGTAAATCCTACCATAACGACATATCGGATGGAGCCAGTCATCCAACTAAAACAAAGGTGATTCTAAATATTTCTAAACAAGCGTTTATTTTAGGAGCCCAGTATTTGTTTTGTCACCCTCGGTTCGATGGCAGATGTATCACTCTGGGGCCAGAAGGTAAAGGTAATGATGGAGAAAAAGAGAGTTCATGTCATCTGAGGCAGGTTTTAATTACACCCTTGGTTTATAACAGCTGTAGTAGCTAAGACAAGTGAAGATTTACAGGTACACTGGTGCTGAGATTGGATTACTTTGGTAGTGAGGTCAAGGTCACAAGGAAAAGTTAGAATCTCAAGTTAAACCAGGAGCAAATCAGGGAAAGTTAAAAAAAAAAAAAAAAAAAAAAAAGATGCTGTGGAATCAAAGACAAAACTATGAACATTTCAACGACTTTAAAATACTTTTTCTTTAGCCTATAAAGACCGATGCCCACCAGCTGTGTTTTCTTATTGCTCTTTTTTTTTGTTTCGCAAAACCAATCTGTCTTTTCTTTTCCTCTTGGCCTGGCCCAGTTTGCCAGTTGCTTGCTCCAGGCATTCTCCCACTAAAACCCACAGAAGCCAAATGTTTGAAGAGTGCAGTGTTCTGCAAAAGATCGTCTTCACTCTGCGGGCCAGCCTCAAGCTTCCTTTCCGGATGATGCTTCCTGCTAAGAGATGATATACAGCCAAGTCTGCAGTATATAGTTGCTGTATTACTTAATCTCTCTCCTGGCAGCTACCGTAAGACACTAACCACAGATCTAGATCACAACCTATAACAATATGTTCCCTCACTAGGAAGCCAACATATCATTTTGGGTGCAGATCAGTAGAGCAATCCAAAAAGCTGACACTCCATTGTCTGCTTCTCCGCTTACTGCCTTGGTGGTTAAGGTACTATTTTTGTTCTCAAGCCAGTCCACTGCCTAAACTAGCATATACTCAGACTTTGGCTAATAACCACATTCGTCACAGTGGTATAACAGACAGGAATTTGTTGTGTTCTTCCCCTTTTGTTTTGTGTTGATGAGAACAAATCTGTTAATCCGCTGTTTCTGGCTTAGATACAGCTGATAGACTGGAACTTTGTGATTGCTTTTGCCAATGTGGAGCCAGTATTGAAGAGTGTTCAGATCCAGTAAACCACGTTTGCAATATGCTGAGACAACACATTGTCACAAAATTCTATTCACTATGATTTGCAGTGTAGTTTCTTCTATACAACATACATTCATAAGGCCTTTGTGATAATAGGAAGCCACAGCTTGATAGAACTACTTGACATTTTGTCAGTGAAACAATATGGCAGCACAAAAACTGCAAAGGTAGAAAAAAATCAAAATAACCCCAATAACAGTCTAGCGTCACTCAGATAAAAAAAATTAAAATTAAAAAATAAAAAAACACCACAAAACTCTAACATTTCTAGGGGCTGTTAATTTTTCTTAGATTTTTTTGCATGCTGGAGAAGCTGTCTGACTCCAGTTTAAACCTTCAACCAGGAAATTGGAAAGCATGCGCTGTTGAGGATAATGGAGGTGACAAGGACCAAGAGAGTGGGGCATTTCAAGACCACAATATTCCTCAGTAGTCACACTGATTTTTCAGACACTGTATTACACTCTAGTAGTTGCACTAACTATTCATCAGTCATTAGTTTTTTTCTTTTCAATAAAATAAATAAAAATCTACAGGACAGCTTTAAGTTTTACTTGAAAAATGCATTTAACTCAGCATCATCTCTTCGAGCTGAGTTGATTTCATTGGCAGTCTTACTGCATGTTTACCACCTCTGACACAATTTTTGCCGTTCATGAAGCCAAATGGGAGATACCGGAGCCTACAATAAAATTTGTCTTACATGTTATGTCCACCTTGAGGCCAATATTAGACTTTTTCTTCCAACTGGCAGCTCATTTTTATGATAATTTCAACTTGACAGACGCCAAGATTTAACTGTTGTGCAATGCACTAGTACCATTTATTTATCACAATATATAACTACTCATTTTAAGTTATCTTTGAGAATCTGCTCGTGTACCCTGCTGTGTCCCCTATAAATGTCTCTCCACTTCCTACGGGGAGTCTTAAATTAGAACTTTCAGACGCTTTTGTGACAAATCATTACTATTGTGTTTCACAGTGTAAAGAGTTCAGGTAATCCAACCAGGGTGGGAAACCATTTATAGAATGTGACCCTCATGCTTTTTAAAAATACAGGCCCAAGTTGCTAATGTAAATCACATGCTACCTGTACGCACAATGCAGTGCACGGCTCTGCATTACTAACCACTAACACCACCACCCACTAAGTCACATCAAGGCATTGTTTCAAATTACAACCTATTTATCTTTCACTGTTGTTCTGTAACCCATCCTTTTAGTGCTGATGCAAACAAACTACAATGAACAAAGTAACAGAGGATACAAATAAAGGCCAGAAAATTTTTGGACAAAGGCGCAGTTTGCCTATGACTGGTGCAAAAATAACTACATTTTTATGTGATCCAGACTCCTAAACTTACCTTCTCCCCTGCGTGTCCTTTTAAGCCCTGGGATCAGTCACAGCAGACACAGTCACATGCAAACAGGTATGAGGAGAGAGACACAAGAGAAAGAGGAACCAGTGTTAGAGACATGGAGAGGGTTCGGGGCATGCAGCATCCTCAGTACTAGTGATGGGGGTGATGGTCTAAGAGCTAAGGAGGGCTACTGTATGCCTAAGTTAAGTGGAACTAAGTAGAAGGTAAAGGCCTCAGTATGCCACAAACAAAGTGCTTTTCAGATTGTCCAACAGTGACTGAAAGATCCTTTCTGATAGTGGAATCAGGGGTACAACTGTTTCACGCCTTTCTGTTATTATTCACACATCACTTTTCATGTGTGCATTGAGTGTGATGCTATAAATACTTTCAATAACACGCTGTCCAAATTCCCCAACTTCACAATATCATATTACAAACACATGCAAAACAAAAGTTATTTTCTTATGAACACTGTGAAGCAACAAATCACGTTACTTTATTTCACTTACTTTAAGGAGCATGACCAACATAGATGCTTTCTATGGGTACAGTTCAAATTTTGCTCCTAAGTACTGGCCTTCATTTATAATTTAATTTATAAAGAAGGTCAAACACTTCTGCTTGTTTACACTGAAATGATTCTATTGCTTCTGGATCGTAGTATTCATAGCTGACTTAGGGTGAAGGCAGGATACATCCTGGACAGGTCTCCATTAAACTGTTTATATGAAATGTGAATTGACTGTTTCCTGACATCACTGTGTAATTACCAGTCTGAAACTGAAAGAGTTTGCTAACTGACTTTGGGAAAGCCTTCGTTTCTTTGCTGCTGCTGTGCTGATGAAACATTGAAATGAGGTTGTGTGTGCACAAATGTGACTGAGGCTGAACCAAATTAAAATCGAATCATGTTTTTTACTGTACTCAACTGTTGCACTGTTAGCTGTTTTATTTCTTTTATCATTGTACTTACTTAAATGTAACCACTATAGTATGCTTGACCCACAAGCTCAAGACACTCACCATTCTCCCAGGAATTCCCATACTTCCTTTGTCACCCTATTGACCAATGCAAATGCAGAAGGAACAGGGGTCAATAAGACAGTTAGAATGAGGACTTAAGTGAACTCTTAAAGGGATACCATGATATTCAGGCATATAATCATCTAATCTCGTCTAAGTAAATTGGACTTAATTTGAAATTCCATTGATGCGTTTTAGGAACAGCAGTTGCGACACAGCAGTGACACTGATTTACTAGCGCTATTATTGAACCTAACTTCAATTCAGTTTTTAATTAGATATTCACAACATATGTAATCTCATGGCACTTCACATAGTAATGTAAAGATCTTGTGAATTTTAAACAGAGAACCCAACAATCCAGATTGCCTTTGGGTTCTCTATGTCTAACTGGTGCTACAACTGGGAATGTGATGTTAATACAGGGTATGCAGACACTGTGCATGTCCTAATTCCATGGTATCCCTTTAAGGAATAGAATCACTTGTGTTAGTCAGCGTGGTAAGTTCAACATGCCATGCCAAATGGTACAACCAGAGAGAAGCAGTGCACAACATAGTGACAGAAAAAAATGCTTAATGCATTCATGCCCAACTCAAGAGTCCAGAGGGGTCTGACATAACTGAAATAATATTGAAAATATTTCTTACGTCATTTTAAGCAAGTGGTTAGTGGTCCCTCCTTGATGAACACTTGGCCATTCTTGTCCTTTCACATTGCGTGAGATAACCATAAACCTTGTCATGTCAAAGTACAGTGATGACATGATATCTATTTCTTAAGTCTTTAATTCTGCACTCAGTAGCTCCACCAGTATTTGAGGATCAGGCAGTGCACTGCTGATGAGAGCTGGTTGAAGACCTGCTGCTGCAGGAGGTCTTGAAAATAAGGGGAGTCATGTAGGCACCGGCTGATAAGGCTGCTGGCAAGGGCTCTGATTTTTAAGTCACAATACTCATCTGTGCTTTGAAGCTCTCATCTGTGAGGAGAAGTTTTGCAGAGACACAATGCACGACTGCATGAACAGTTTAAACCAGAAGATAAAAATGTGAATGAAAATATATTTCTATGCCAGTGTTTAATGGAAATGTGGTCCTTCTTTAGTGACACAGAGGGTTACTTTACTTTGCTAAATAATAAATATTGTACAGCTCGGCACAAACTGCTATTTATGCCTCATAGGGTGCAGAATGCTTACACACTTTAGGCATTAATGGCCAATTCATGTTTTAAGTGTGCAAACTGTCCTATTTAAACCACAAAAGGTGCTCCTATGAATGTTTTTGAAAAGACTTTTTACAGAATACAACAGCTGCAGGTACACTGGGCAGACATTGCACAGAATTCCTGGAAAGTGTAGAACATCTTACTGTATTTGGGGACCACTGATGGAAAGCATGTATGAATGAAAGCATCTTCAAAATTACTTCTTCAATAACAGCTCAGCTTAGTGATGAATTTTAAAGGTGTGGATAACTGAAAGTTTCCTCATACGGTCTCTCCTTATAAAAACCATTGGTTTCCAGCACCATTTGTTTTTAGGGCACACATTCAGTCGGTACAATTGGTGGTCACAAGCGTTGGGCTGCACACAAATATCCACAGGGGGTGTCTTGGGTGCATATTAAAATTTACATCCCATGTGCCCTTGTGGACTCACACACAAGGAAAGCATGAATTGACATTAAGGAGGTTTCTTCTTCAAGGGTAGATGGTGTTCTTTACTGCAAAGATTACATTTTTTTTCTTGACACAACAAATGTCAGCTAGATGAATGTCTTGTATATCAAGCCTCTGACGAACTGCAGAAGTATCCCATAAATTACAGCATGATTTCGACACTGCATGGCTCACTTTTCACTTAATATCCTATCAGAAACAGTTTAGATGGATTTTGACAAACTTTCCAAACATTTCAAAACAAACAAATAAAACAATGCTGTTCCAGACAAGGCTAGACTTGGTCTGTCAGAGTTGTAACCATTAATGTTGATGTCTGGGTGAAATGTGAACAAATAAAGAGCTGAAGTTTCCTGACAGACAGGATATGTCCATCAGTTTTAATAAACATATGTTGCCTGCTTTTCACATTTTAGTCAAACTGCACTCTTCATGTCTTCTGTGTGGACTGAATATGGGCATAGATTCAGTTGTTTTCAGCCTTGGAACATCAGAGGTGCTGGTATCTCTGTCATTAGTTTGTGGCATATTGTTAAAGCCTTTAAATACCATCAGGTCACAGCTGGGCTCTTTGAAGCCCTGTCCAAGGTCCTGATTTAAACCAAAGCCTTGGGGAGAATCTGGTACCACCAAAGACAGTTTTAATCCAGAGCTGAGGGCTTGACAAAGTGCCTTATGTGATTATTTGTGGCAACCACAAAGTACAACCTTCACTACTGGGTTTAATAGCCATGAGACAAATTGAGTGTTTTGAAAAACCTCATTCAGTTCATGTTTTACATGATGTTCCACAAACAGAAACCTGATCACTACAGCAATGTTCTTCTAGCTGTACACATCCACAACATGTTTCTTCTTATTCAGTCAGACAGGCAGTTTGTTTATACATGTCCACAATCTTGTGTTGTTTATAGTTAATACAGGGTTACAGGGTTCTCGCCAGCGTGAACGTTACACTGCTGCCTGAAAAAAATCACACTGCAAATTGGGCTGTTACACTGTTTTCGAGGGTACGTAGCAGGAAAATTATAATTTCTCTATGTTGATTGTACCCAAATCTGCATGTATAGAAGCTATTTTAGATCGCGTTAAATGTGCTTCACACGACTGCACGGAGGTCTCAGCTTTTGATTGACACCTAGTTTGGCTAATACGAGGGCTTTGGGGGTGACTGACACCCTGAAGAGCCAATGAGTGTCTCAGACAGTCAACACACAAGTCCCACCCTTGCAGATTCAACTTGTCAGGTTGCACACACTCTTTGATGCTATAAACTTTTAGCCAGTGGGCAGACGAACACGCTGGTCTATAGGATGCCAAGATTGTTTTTGTGTGGTGACCGTGGAAGCCGTGTGTAGTTGCTCAAGGCTTTAAGTGCGATCTAAAATAGATTCTGCCTGATTTCGCCAGAAGGAATGAATAAAACAGCCAGAGCTGATCTCAAGCTGGGAAGACATTACTGCAGAATTTGTGCCTTTGAGGATCTAATAGATACTGCAGACCAAATTATTTTACTGGATTATTTTCACTGGATCTGTACGGACAGAATGAGACCAATCTGGTACGGAATGTTTGAGCTGCAGAGAGCCTTCAAAAGCAAGAAAAGTCAAATTTTAACATTTTGCTTTTATGTACAAAAAGCTCTTTGTGTCAACACTCTGGTTGCTGCAGGTCAAAAAGGTTTATATCATCAGAAAGACGAGACTCTGAGCTTTCATTTGATATGGATATTGTCAGGCAACTTGATTGAGGAGCATGCACACGTGGCCGTAATGTTTTTGGAAGTTAGTCATGTCCCGGGACTGGGACGTAGGAATGTTAAGGGGTAAAGTTAATTCCAGAGCTTTCTGGTATATTTAGACCAGGGGTGCCCAATCCAGGTCCTTGAGAGCCCCTATCCAGCATGTTTCAGATGTTTCCCTCTTCCAACACACCTGATTCACATGATCAGCTCATCATCAAGCTCTGCAGAAGCCTGATTGGATTGGATTGGACACCACTGATTTAGACTGACAAAGAAGGCCCTTTATAAGCCCATAAAGCTTCAAGGGGATATTCGCTCCCCACCAGGCGCCACCACTGGACCCCTGGCTTTTAAGGTGATTTTTCCATCCCACTATTCTGCTAAAAAATCCTGGTAAGAACCCTGTGATTTTAAGGGGTTAAACAAGGATGGAGTGGTGGGCCGTGCATTTTACTCCTCGGCCTTCAGTGGCATCCTACCTGAATCAAGCCACCTCTTAACACCGTCATTATGACACCACGGCTATAGAAACCATCAGTATTATGCAGAAAGGCGGCATAACAGGAAGTTACATTGCAGACAGGTATTTCATGTTGGAATGAATGCCATCACTAAAGGAAGAAACCCAGTTAAAACAATTCAACAAGTCTCCATTAACTGCAGCCACAGCTGCACCACATACATCACATCAGGGTTCTCACCACACTATTTCCCTGAAAAAACACACTGTATCTTGGCCCGCTATGCTGTCTTTCAAGCTGCGTGTTCAGATATTTCAATATTTCAGATGTGCAAATTTTCCTAAGAAACTCGTTTCTCTACCATCGTCTCTCCCCGCTTTCGCTAAGACCCACAACCCCGCCCCCCGTCCCGCCCACCGTTACGCTGTCTGAACATTCTGGTGAGGACCGTGCTTGATAGTCTCATATTCACCAGTGTCTCACTGCCCAAATACACACCCACTGACACACACACGCACGCACACACAAACACTAGGCCTTGAGCTAACAAACACACTGCAGTCAAAAGGATTTATGTAGGTCTTTAGTGGTATAATGCCAAGGTGTCTTAGGAATATTTACAATCTGAGTGAGCCTCAGTGAAACTTAAGTCAGCGCTCAACACTCCTTTGAGTGTCTCTGCACAAGTAGCACCCATACTGATGCTACTCGTGCAGAGACACTCATATATTTGCTTTGACAAACACAGCCACAACATTAAGATCACTGCCAAATGGAGTAAATAACACTGATCATCTCTTTAAAATGTTCTGCTGGGAAACCTTGGGTCCTGGCATTCATGTGGGACTTACTTTGACACACACACTCTACCTAAACATTGCTGCAGGTGGTTTTAATGTTTCAGCTAATTGGTGTGGTTTTGCAGTGAAGCATGTTAATACAGATATTGCATGTTAGTTTTTATGAGGTATGAGTGAATTATTAATTCTTTAGTTGCCTGTGAGTAGCCAGAGGGTTAGTGGGAACTGTAGGAATACATTGTGTGGTTGGTAAAGTGAGGAGGGAGCACTGTGTTTATGATCCATCCATCATATCAGTGGGGTCTGCTCCCTGATTTTCAGTTCTTAAAGGCCCTTATTCCAAAAACCACATCCTCCTGCCCTCATTCAGGCAAAAACCACTCATGATTTTACTTCCCGCTGCCTGGCAGGTGTAATCAATCACAAAGCCCGGAAGGAATCTCATCTTTACTTTGACTGTCAGTGACACCCCAGAAAAGGACTGATCATGGGGCTATTCTCCAGTTAAGACTGTTCAATGGACCTGTTTCACAAGTGGGCTGCTCAGAACCAAATGCGGGGTTTGCGGGTTGCAGGGTCAGATGCTAGATGGCGACCTGTTGTCATGATAGAAACCATGTGAGTTTTGACACATTGAGACTTTGCTGGATCAGCAGATAGAGGAGCAAAGGTTTCAAAGCTATAAGCATTCGGTTCCACTGCTGTACTGACCTCTCTGAGGTTTCTGAACCAAGAAATGATCGTAGAAACAGCAATAGAATTAAACTGAATTGCTGCTCCACATTGAAATGCAGATAGTTTAAGTTCAGTGCAATAGTGTTTCCTTAAAAATACAGATTTGTACACAACTACTTTTCATTCCTAAATATGTTCTGTAAGAAACTACCCAGTGTTTCAGTGGTGTAACATGGTGCACACTCTGGTAAGGCAAGGCTCTGTAACTTGTTCCCACAAGTGCCAATTACAAAACAAATATTGCTTCATTTCTGCAAACTTAAAGTCAGTTTTAAAAAAAATTAAAAAATCTGTAAGGGACCAACTTGGAAATGGTAACTTCTAAAGCTCTAGCCAACTTGCTAAAAGGGCAAAGATTGGCATCATAAGCTTGAACACACCTGTTTTTTTGTTTTTGATTAACATGTATTGGACACAGGCACCCTACTCAGGGGAGGACTAATGCAAATTAATAGGCTGTATATTTGCAAAGTTGAAATTAATTTACCACTAACCAGTTCCATCACTGTGTGCCTGAAGCTTTCAGGACTCCTGGAGTTTGGGGTTTTGTAATCTATCTCTGGAGAATCTAAATCGGCTACTATTCATTAGCAGCAACATTACATTTTATGCTGATCCCAGATGAAGTAAGACCAAATATTCCTTATGGCTTTAATCAGATTGTGGTATTTACTCTTTCAAAAGTTGCATAGCCTCACTTTAATGCTTGCAAATGACACCATTTGTCGAGACTAGGTTGTTTAAAGTACATTGCTTTCTGAAATAGTGTCCCAGAGACATATGCTTATCCTCAAACAAAGACAACAATTACTCAGTAAAGAGCAGGCAGAGAGATCAATACTGCAGTGACCATCATTTATGCGTGCAAAGTTTGTATACAGAGACACACAAAGACGCAAGTTAAAAAGACAGTTACCGGAAAGCCTGCTCGTCCAGGAGGACCCTGAAAAAGGGGTGAGACAAAATTGGTACAAAAAGGAAAGAATACAATTTACAGATAATGTCCACATAATAGAAGATCTCTCCACTGAACCAGGCCAGAATAAAACAAGTAGCAGACACTAGCTGCTATGTTTTGTTTTGGCCTTTCTGCCTTAGTGACAGCACACAGAAAGTACCCTGCTGATGCAGTAACATGCCTCTTCAAAAACAGACATTAACAGAAATTATCTGAGCACATCATGAGACTGTCTAAAGACCAAAGAGGTTTCACTACAAAGACTCATGCAAAGGTTGGTTTTGGGAGAGTGCATGCTGAAAGTCCTTATGTTTCTGCACAGCAAAGTCTATTCAAACTTCTAGCTGACTTCACCCTACTTGAACATCTTGTTGAGGCGGATATGACAACATATCAGCATGGTGGCTTTCATCCAAAACAAATCACAAGGAGCTAGAGTACAATGGCTTTCACTTACAAGCAGGTACTAAGAATAAGAAGGAGCACAATGTAAAAAGTCAAGTGCGTTTTGTTTATTGAGAGCGAGCGGAACTTAAGTCTGTGCTTCTTGTGTGAGCAGCTCTTAAGTAAAGGACACAATGCTAATTGGTTGCAAGTAAAAACAGGAACTCCCAACATTTTCGGAAAGGCTACTGAGGCACTGACATACTGACACTTTACTAAGGAGAATGATAACTGGCTGCTCTTGAATTGTGGCATGTCATCAATATTTTTCCATGAGGACTTCAGTGAGAGTGCTGCACTTCCCAGAGAAAGTCTGTGTGTGTGTCTGTGTGTGTGTGTTTGTGTGTGAGTGTGTGTGTGTGTGTGTGCACACGTGGGTGGGTGACTGCTGGCTGACAGCACAAGAGGGGAAGTCATTCCTCATATCAGTAATTCTGGATGGATGAAACTCAAACATTCATCTGGCTCTATTAGTTTTAATGATTGCTTTTCAACATCGACTTAATTCTTTTATGTTGGGAGTTTTTCTAAGAGAATGTAATACTCCACCAAAAATCCCTGGAGCAGCACATTGACTTAAAAAGTCTGTAACACTTTTGTGGTGGACAGCAGCTCTGGTCAGGATAATAATACATCAAGCTACACCAGGGCATTGGAGCGCAAAGGAGCTTAAAATGTGATGAGCATGATGATGATGTCTGAGAGAAGTTTGAGGCCATGAGGTAGAGATTACATTTTGGATCTAATAAACAACCAGTACAATGCTTCCAAGGTTTGGCAATTTCATTTAACATAGTTTTATTCAGGAATTTGCACCACATAGTGTACATGTTGCATACGGTGGCCTCGATTCATCTGAATGGTACATCTTTATTTGAGGCAGGCTTACTGTAGAGATTGACCTTGATTTCTGTTTTTTCCACTTTCTAATAAAGTAAATGTCCTACCAAATGTCAAAATATACCTTTATGTAAAATATAGGAAAAAAGGTACTTTACAATTTTGAAATGACTTAAGGATGTAATTAAACACTGAAATGGTGCTGTAATTTCTGCTTCACACACACAAAGCAAAGGAAGGAATTAGTACAGAGCTATAAAGGTTTATCCTTTCTTATAGTTTTGTCCTCATGTTCTTTTTTTTTTTTTTTTGACTTGCAGGCTTAAACCAAACCCCTGTAGACCCAATAATAAACCTAATAAAGCAGCCAGAAGGAACACTGCATGTGTGTGTGTGTGTATGTGTGTGTGTGTGTGTGTGTGTGTGTGAGTGTTTTGCACTGTCTCTCTTTTAGACTCTGCTCTCATCAATGTGAAAGAAATATACATGTGTTTAATCCTTCTATGGTCACATTTGCAGTCTTGCTATTTATTCCAGCCACCAGGCAGTCACAGGGCAGTGCTTGAAGGTACGTAGCAAGGTGCTGAGTGTGAACATGCTGCATGGGAGCTGCCAGCCGGTTCGCCACTGGGTCTCCAGGGGCTGTATACAAGGAGCAAAGGTCATTCAATCCCGGAAGGAACCCTTCACTGGAATTACAAAGTAATCCTCCAACATGTGGCTCCCATTTGGCAAAGTACTTCTGAATGAATGGGAGGGCAAGGAGGGGGTGGTGGGAGAGAGGTACATTTGGCCATCCTACGTGGGATGTATGGTCTCCTGGGTATTTCTGTGCTCACTAAAAAGTGATTCGAGGTGCAGGAGAGGTTTTACTCAGTTCTTACTGGTGTTATTTTAGCCAGAAAGTGACTGATGATACTCTGCAACTGAACTTGGACAGACACACAAAAAACATCAGTACTTAGTTGTCAATGAATAATGCTCTTGTGTTTGGTTTTGCTAGGTTGAATATTTATTTCAATTAGACTTCAGGAACTGTGCTTCTGCGTTTTGAGGTTTTTGCTGACAGCTAGTGAGGGACCCCTGTTGGTATTCTGTTCAGCTTCACCAGAGTCAGTGAGTGATTCCTATCATCTTTCATTACTTTTAAGTGTTTCTTGCCCGACATAACAGGGCCAAGTGCTTGTGTGCTTGTGATGTGACCTGTGACGAACCATGACCTATCATCGTTTTGTTTTTTAAGGATGACAGCAAGCCAGTTTAAAGAGACAAGTAAAGAGAGTAACTTCATATCACCTTTCACTTGTGTTAGGTTACTTTTGAAGAATCTGCAACAATACATGAGCCCTGTGATGGACATGCAACCTAACTACATGGTGTTCCAGCCCTTGGTGCTGTCCAAGCTAACCCCAGCCAGCCTGAGCATGGATGCATAATGTAAATGTGAATTTATGATATTTACTCATGGTGCTGTTCCATGGAACATTTACCTGGACTTTAGAAATTGATTCATTTCAGCACAGTTGCTGTATTCACCGGATTTACTTATGGCAGTGAGATAAATTCAGATTTATCTCCTGGGAGCCTTCTACTTAAACCCAGTCAGAGTAGCTTGTGTCTGACTGAAATCACCCCATCTGTGAAATCTTTGTAATGGCTGCAGCAGGACTCGGACCATTTAGCCTCTTAAGCATCAGGACCCAGCTGTCAGACCTGAGCTTATTTCTTGCACACTGCCCAGTGTTCTATACATCCCTTAACTTTTCTGTTAATTTGATAACAAATTTCCTGGATGAATGGTTCTATTGCAGAATTCTGAAGTGAAAGCAAGTCACCATTAACTTATTAGTTACTAATTAGTTTTTAGAAGGTCAGACACAAAGGTTTACATTTACACCTGAAACATTCTGTCATCTTTGTCTACTTCATACTTTCAGCCATGAGCAGCAACTCATTTGCATTCTATTTCTGATGGCTCATTGAAAGTCAAACGGAGGAAGAGGAGTTAGGACCAATTTTGTTTTAAATATTCTTTCTATTTTTTGGTGTAATTTGGTAAAAACCTAAGGGAATAGTGTATGTCTAACAGCACATAAAGGACATGTGGAACCTGTCTATGTCTAGGACTTTAAAATGCTCAGATCCTGTGGAGATAGACCTGAGAAAGTAAATGACAGTGGAAAATCTGCCTTGCTGTGTGACCTCATGTATCTTAAAACTTCCTGCGCAGGAATATCCCTCGAATTTTCCAGGGTGGGACACTTGGCAGAGCTGATTTTAACACTGATACAGCTGTACAAAAGTCAAACTCAGATGTACCCTTAGATAGCACCCAGATGTTTGGAGTAGTGTCCCTAAACCATCTGCCACTGACGCACAATGATTTTCCTTTAAACCAAAGGCTTTATTTAAGCTGTTTGCTTATAGTCAGCCAAATATGGCATTCAGTTATCCCATAGAGCTGAATTGGGCTGAAACCTATCTTAGCACTCAGAGAGGTGGGGTAGGCTTTGGACAAGTCGCTGGTGAATCACAGGACTAACAGAAAACCATTCACATCCACAGCTACAGACAGTTTACAGAACTAAATTTAGGCAGAAACCCACACAGAAATTAGGAGACTATGCAAACTCCATACAGAAAAAGCTGGCCAGCAGATTCAAACTGAGAAACCTCCTGCTGTGAAGACTATTTTGCCAACCAATCCTGAGCACCACTTACTTGACATTATAGTACCTAATATTACAGCCTGTGTTCACCATGTGGACAACTTGGAGAACCGTACCAAATGTATACAAAAGAGCCATATAATAAAGCCATGTCTACATTACCACTACATCAAGACAAGCAGTATGTAAGGCAGTTGTAATCAGATAAGTTCCAGGGGACTTTTCATCTACAGCACACCAAAATGCAAAAAATAAATCACTTTCAGTCACTTTACCACATGCAGGTCACACAAGGCTTCTGGTCTACTTACTGGAGGTCCTGCAAGACAGATAGAGAGAAAGACAGAAAAAACATTTAGATTGCAGGTAACATACATTACATACAGACAGCCCAAATATACCTCAAATATCTGCTTGTGATTTCCTGGATAGTGCTATAAATAATGTAGACAGGAGTAAAAATGAGCTGTGGGCTCTAGTCCCATCTCTAATGGTCTGCAGTCGTGGTGCAGGTGCCTTGTTGGTGCAACATTAGCATCAAATAGCTTCAAAAATTACATTTGAAAACCAGCCCATTTGAAAACATGTTTAATCTATTTGAACCAATAGGAAGACACAGCCAGTCAAGGACATGTTTTCAAAGACATGTCATGTTGAATCATCAAAGCATAAACCATAGTATCAGTTTCCGGGGTTTCGATTATCGTGCATTTAAAAAGCTCCATCTGTGGTCCTCTGGGACTGCCAGAAAGAGCCCTGAATCATTCTGACATTTGAGTACTCTGGCAGCTTAGGCAAAATGGTTTGCCTAGCCATCAGTTCTAGGGTTGAAGAAGGAGAGACAAATCAATAACCAATAAATCATGTTGTCTGTGTCTGTTGCTTATATCAGTCTTTTACAAGACTGTTGCATGTTGCATCACTCCTGTGTTGATATTTTCCATGGAGGTGTTGTGTTCCGGTATGAAGGTTGAAGTCAGTCCAGACATTTTCATGTAAATTGTACCTTGCTGACTGTTTGCATTGAGTGCATAGCTTACATATATTTACACATTTTCTAATTTGAGTTACAAGGCTCATTAAAGTTATATAGAAGAATTGGGAATCTCTGGGCTGCAGCCATGAGCTGCACTTTACTTGATGGTAAGTAAAAGTAAATCAAAAGTGCAGTGAACCAGACAAGAAAACAGATGTAATGCAATTCCAGTACATGTTTAAAAAAAAAGAAAAAAAGAAAGTGCTTTATTTTACCCCCAGCTGGCCTTGGGTGAAAAACGATGGAATGTCCTGGTCTGCTTTCCTCTTTACAGACATGCTCGTACTACTAGTGAAGAATCACACACTCAAAACCATAACCTGCTCTGATTTATATATAAGCAAATTTGTTTTCTAAATGTTAGTTTAATGTTAGTTAGGTTGTTGTATGTCATACTTATGTATGTATGGGGTCCTACTAAGATGCTAATTTCAGGAGGAGATCTGAGCTGAAACTAGCAACCCACAAATTCACTTGGCCTACCTACCACCTAAGCTCCCCACTTATTATGTCTACTAGCACCACATGATCACATAATTTATCAGGCATTGGGAAGAGAGCAATAATTCCCTTTCTAGGATCTCAAACCTGGAGACCACTTGATGAAATTTCGTAATCATTAAATCTCAAAGAAAAGAAAATACTTGCAGTTTTTTGCATCGGTATTGTAGTTTTATTGTTCCTCAGGTAAAGTGACTGGATTAGTAACAATTTTAGAGAAATCCATATATTGAATTAAATATTGTATTAAATACTTAAATGTCATGGGAATTTATCAAGTAGTCAGCTTAATAATATCTCAGAGTGGGGAAACCTTATCAAACCTGTACCCCATAGTCTCTCATTAGAAACACATGGGAGGGTCGGACTGCCAGGGCCAGCCAATGACTCACACTCAGCCCCATGTAATAGACCTTTCACTAAAACCAATCTGCTTTTCCTTGACCTTTTCATGAGCACAACAAGAGAGCCATGAGTCATCAGACAAAATGAACTACTGCTAAAACCACACAAGGGTCACAAAAGATGTCTTTACATCAATCACAGCAAGGTGGGAAAAATCACTAATGACAAATCACTTCTGTGAAATGTCAAATCAAATCCCCTGCTTTATCTCCCAGGCAGAGTTTATTCTGTGTAGTCCTCAAACTGGTCCATACTTGCCTGCAAGCCTGCGGTCAGCTCAATTTGTTCGCTTTGTGCTTGTAAAAACTGAAAAGCAGTCTGAACACGGAAAAGAAACAGTTAAGAGATTTTATGGACAAGTGAAACAAGAAACTGTTTAGTTCACCTGACTATCACTGACTGTCAGCAGTGGCCCCACACCAGAGCTGCTCTACTCCACAGAGTTATCGTGGCCTTCAATGTGGTGTCATTGATACAACTTCATTATTGTTTTCAGTCTGATTATTAAGGATCCTCCAACTGCATCATTAGTTAGGCATCTTTATAATAATTGTTTTTCTTTGTTCGTGGGCCAAAAAGACTAAATAGAATAGGATGGGACAGGCTGCAACTGCAATTAACTCTATTTCAATAAAAGTTCTAGTGGTAGCATTGCTGTCCAACCTGGCAGCAATGACCCACAAGCAGACCTTTTCTGCCACTTCTGCTAAAGTTTATCTATGGCAACATTTTACTCCTCATCACTGGATGAGAAAGGATGCCAGAGGAGTACTAGTTGATTTTTCTATTGGCAGGTTTACCTAAAACTTTGATCCTGGGAAAGATGGATTTGCCAGATTGCCATAAATTTTGATTTGGATATTGCAAATGATTTTCAATTTTCTATATTTTAAAGACAAAAACATTTTCTGTGGATAGTCAATGTTTCACATTGATTTGTTTCATTGTAATGACTTCCTGGTTGTGCACTGGTCTGACATTCAGGGCCCCCGCTGGAAAAAAAAAACTTATGGCAACTACCTCTGGATTACTATGATGCTGAAAAAAAAGAAATGTGAAGATTCTCAGGCAAGCTCTGGAGCAGCAAAGCTAAAAATGTTTTCATAATTTCAAACTGGATTGCCTTACATTTTCTCCTCTGCATGTGCACATTTAGGTGAAATTCTCAATTTTGTTCTTATCATTTTAAAATAATTGCTTTTGTTTAAATCCACATTAATATTCAGTCCTTTTTGTCAATGATGCTAAACAATTCACAGTTTGAATTCCTGCAGTTTAGTATGTTTGAGTGTCTTCTTTGGTCTTTGGTCACCTCTCTCATCCCCACTCTCACCCCAATCAGTGGAGGCAAATGGCTGTTTTCCCTGAACTTGGTTCTGTTTGAGTTTTTTTCTTCCTCCACAATGAAGCGTTTGGGGTTTTTTTTTGGTTCCAAGAATCCAAAGAGAACTTTGGATTGGTGTGTTGTCTATTTAAAATGTGTAAGGCCTTACCTTACTATGTTCAGTACTATGAGCTGACATATGTTGTGAACTGGTGCTGTATGAATACATTGAATTTATAGTGTTGTACTTAAGCTGGGTTGTCATTACCAGTAGCACTAAAATCTAGAATTTTAGACCAGTTTTCATAAGTTGCTACCTTAACTGGTGCACACCATAAAGTCCAGAATCTTTTAATTAGCAACGTTTCTCGTATGAGACAGGATTAATGAATCAAAGTAATGACGTCTCATTTGCAGCAGTGCACGGCTGTTCCAGGAATTCTTGCAGTTGTAATCCACTCCCTAAAGGGTAAGCTTAGATCTTTCCCGCATGCAAGAGTGTAGAAAGCAAACATAGAAGCAAGATTCCTGGTGCATTCTGGGCCTGCCATCACATCCTGTTGGCTGGACTCTCTCACCCAGGGGACATTATGTAGAGCACCTTCTTTCCAAAGGCACTTTGAGAAGTCTGGGGGAAGCATGTTCAAATATAGCGTATTAACTGGCGCCTGACGAGGGACCTCTAAAGCAACAGCTTTACATGCAACAAACAGTGGGCACAACATGAAACAAATTTCACACTCATAAACACACACACACACACACACTAAAAGGGAATTTGCTTAACTGCATTGATATCATGTATTCCAAACCTCCTCTGCTGGGCTTAATGCTGTCTATCTATTGCTAACACCTGTTGTTTATTCTTATGTAAGGGCACTAGTTCGCTGTGGCCGGAAATGGAGGTCTAATATTGCATGCCAACATGCGAAGACATGGGCGTTCCCTCTTCCCTGCTGCTGTTAGAGCCAGTCATTTACTCAAAACTCATTCTTGCTTGTATTTAAAGCAACTATGCAACCAAAAACTTGGGACGCTTTGCTATTATAGCAAATAACATACAGTAAAAGACATTCTCAACAACTGCGAATGCCCCTATGTTCTACTGGAGTACAGCAAAAGAAAAAAAGAAAAAAAAGGCTTTCATGTATAAGTGTAAACCTTCCACTCAACCTTAGGAATGCCCCCTCTCTTCTAAGCTCACTAGTACTTGGCCTTTTGTGTTACAAAGAGGAAACTGTTGTGGTGGGCTGCCGTCTTGAGACTATTTCTGTCCCTGCATATGGATCCAGCAATAACCTGTGGAATTCCAGCTCTCTGAATATCCAGATCCAAAACCCCACCACGGCCTCCCCATCATTCCTGGCTCTCTCAGATTCCCTGCTTCCTGGGGAACCTGCTTCTCCAGTTGCCCTTGTAAACACACACAGCGACCAGTGCAAATGTGGCAGCTGTCAGACTTCTGTTCAGTGACGTCTGAAGTCTGAATGAAAGATACGACATCAGAAAGAAAAAAAACTTTTAGGAAAGATAAGGTTACTAGGTACTTGGATCAAACAATTCCTCATACCTTATGAATAAAAGCAGCTATTTGTCACTGTCTTCCAAAACCACACATGTATGTACACGTATACATGCGTGGGCCAAAAATAACTTCCTGGCAGGATAAGTACTTGACTATGGCTCAGGGAAGAGCGTTCATTGTTAAAAGGTGGTTTGTTATTTTTGTGTGTAAAGCGTCTTTGAGTTTCTTACAAAGCCCTACATAACACAAATATATTATGATCATTGTTATCATAATGAAAAGCACTCTTCATCTCCTGCTTGGTCATTCCAAGGCCAGATGGGATCTACTGCAAAACCCCCTGCCTGTATTAGAAGAAAATCTCCACAGCCAGCATCTTGTACGACCCTGTGTCATCTTTCTATTCAAATAAACTCCATTTTCATTTACATTTAGAAAGAAAGACATTTTCTTCCTAAAATGAAAGACAATTGAAATTGCCACAAAGGCTAGAAGGGAGGTGGAGGCATAAATCAATGACAGGCCTTT